ACATTATATCTTTTTTAAGCGCTGGGTCTTGAGTGCTTACCACTATATAATAAGGAGCCAAGTGTGCCCTTAGGTGTCTAACGGAATGGAAGCAAAATTGTCCGCAAATATAAGTCACTTCACAGATCGGTCTGCAACTTCTTCTGGTCCTGTGTTCTAGTGGTTAGGATATGGGATTTTGACTTTGCTTCTGCACGATTTCCCGGGGCCCCGGTTCGACTCCGGGCAGGACCTAACTGTTTTAGATCATTTTAAGAATTTTAATAGCTTTTTAGAGAGTGGAATGAGCGTGAGCCGAGCTGGTTTAACTTAGGAAAGCCTGTTTGTTTTTTAGACAACCTTTTAAAGTATAACTATGCTTATGTAAGCATACTACCTATTATCTTATATTTACCTACTTTTTTAAGGCTTTTTCTAAGGCTAAAATAAAGGTAAAAGTCTTATTTTTTGATCTTAGATTGTGAGAATAGTGGTTGTTGCAACCGGATCGTGTCTCGTAGTCTCGACACGGAGCTTTGAGTGACACCCTCTACATATGCAGTACTTTCCCGTTGTGGCCAGCCTTGTCGCAATGTTTGGTCCTCCATCCGAAAAAACTGTAATTATAAATAATCGCCCCACTCCCGCGGTTCCAAACCCACTATCTTAATAAGTAAGGGAAGATATTTTTTTTAAATAAAAAGAGAGAGATCGGATATTCGCACCCATTAAAACAGAGGGTCATACACCCAGACCAGGGAACTCGGAGATTAAAGTAGAGGTTACCCTATAGGAGGTTATCCGATGAGGTTGTCCCATAGGAGGTTGTGCTATAGGAGGTTGTTCTATGAGAGGTTATCCCTTGGGGCTTGGGTATACCCTCCATTTTAGTGCGTGCGAATACCCAATCTCAAAAAGAAAATATGAAAAATTCCACGACAAGTTCAGGCACTTCGACAGCGTGGCAGTCACAGGCGTCAAGATCGCCCTCGGAACTGCTCCCGAGGTAGCAGCCCTATAGCCTCTTCTATGGAGTATACCGTCAAAGTTTGATCGGTATTGAACTTTAACCATCGTGCAGTTCTCTAGCGGCATGTGGCGTATGGTTGTCCCCCAGGCTCGGTTAGCTAAACACGACCTGTTGATGCAAACCAGTCAGTCACAGACGGCGCCCTTGGCGTGTTTCCTGCCTAGCTACAAGCGACTTTGCCATCCCGTTTCTGGAACTTGACACACCCACCTTGTCCTCAAACCTCTCATAACCTTTCGCGTTTCTCATGACTAGCCAGAAGGACCCATCTGGAGCCACCCCGCAACGGATATGCCGCCAGTCCAAAAGAGTTGATTGAGCGCCCTTTACAATGTCTCAAGCAGACAAGGTTGAGCACTACCACGCCCTCCTCCGCCCGAAAATCAGGCGACCATGTCGGATTCAAGGATATGTCTGGTGCCGGCCCGCCGCGGCAGTCGCCGCGCCGGCGGCACACTCGTTCACATGTTCCCAACCTCTCCTTCTCAAAAACAGCTCCACGGCAGGCCCGCTTATACCCGTGCTGCTCTGTGGTGTAAATAAAGTTTGACAGACCCCTCTAGCTCAGCTCGGGCCCTCTGTGATTAGGCCAGTGGTTTGCTGCTGTCTGCAGCATGTAGATATCCTTTACGATAGAATTGGAAGTGGAATTGCATTTCCTGCCACCCCGATGGCCAAGAAGTCGAGCGTTAGGAAGCTGCCGAACTTGCCCAGTCTTTGGTCAATCACCATTGCAAAGTTAATATCTGACTCTTAGCCTCTTGCATAGAAACCATGTGACTGGTCTGGAAGAGTGAGGCCGGTGGGCTGTTCTCAAGTTGACTTCTGTCTCAAAGGGCAAGGGATGGCTGTTCATGACTTGCGGGGCGCGCCTATGTTGCAGGACTGAGGATCAGCCAAGGGCGCTGTTAAGCGCGTGTCCCTCGTTTGGCTAGGAACGACACAAGACGGCTGCAGTTGCCATCCGGTGGGAGCTTTCAATGCGCAGGGTCTATGCCTCGTTTCTTATTTTCCTTGCCTTGCCTGTCTGCGTACCTATCCTGGCACCGGCCCAATTCGCACTCTTATAGAGTCGGTATCGTGGAAGGGACTTTTCCTGCTGCCCGCTCATGATACTTGTCTTTCTCATTATGTCCCCTCGCTGGCCGGACCTCCGTGTCGACCCTCTGTCCTACTTCCGATGGCTTCACTTCCAAGCCCCCCACCGGGCCTGGATCTGACCGAGACAAAAGTGCCAGGCCTGCTCGCGTCTGCATGTGTCACCTATGTGGCGGGGGCCGCATCTGTTGGGCTCCGATTCTTTTCTCGAAGGCTGACAAGGGGCGGGTTCTGGTGGGATGACTGGATCATGCTCACGGCCCTGGTAAGAATTCCGAGTCTGGTTGATTGCATTTGATTGATAAATAACAGGTACTGACAAGATCAGATATGGGCGTCGTTTTTCTTCTTCTTCACCATATTTTACAGTAAGTCCCACTCGTGATGATCTCGCTATCGGCAATGACCCCCACCCTTCCGCTCATACGCTAAGGCGGTCTCTTGGACAGTGGTTCCCAGAGGACTTGGCCTGCACGTATGGGCTGCCCCTTCTGGGGCGACAAGATCATACTACTTCGGTCTCTACATCACCTCATACGCCTACACTCTAAGTATCTTCACTACGAAACTAGCGATACTGGCTTTTTACTGGCGAATATTCTCAGCGGACCATAGAATCAGGTGGCCACTGAGGATATTCGGGTTGTTTCTCTCAATATGGACCGTGGTACTAGTAAGTGACATTTGAACATCAAGGGTAGTGTGGCTGGTCACAGGCTCACACTCAAGTGTTTCCCACAGTTTTTGGTGCTCGGACTCCAGTGCCAGCCAGCCACCGCGTTCTGGGAAAGATTTGATCTCGTCAACCCTCCAGATCCGTAAGACTGCTTCCCCAACCCCTTCTTTCATTCACGGCTCTACTCAATTTTTACACCCTTTCAAAATCATTACCTTGAACTTTCGACAGACAATTGACGCTCATTAGATCACAATATAATTGTGGTGTGGATACTATCAAGTTCTTTCTTGTGAATTCAAGTATCAATACGCTTACCGACATACTATTAATGTTGGTTCCGCTGCCGTTCATTTGGAATCTCACGCTGCTCAAACCTCAGAGAATTGCGCTCATAGGTGTATTCGCGCTGGGACTGTTGTAAGTGCATGTGCGCTCTAGTACGGCGGTTTTTCAGTTGGCTAAAATTTCAACAGTGTCACGGCCGTCTCTGTCATCCGTATCTACTTCACCATCAATTTGGATGTGACGACCCCTGATACGATCTGGGATTCAGCCGACTCGACGCAATGGACCCTTGTCGAGGTCAACGTCGCCTTAGTCTGCGGTATGGCATCCTATTCTGGCAATACGTCATCATCATATGTAGTGTTTTTGACCAGTGACTGACCTCGATAACAGCATGTCTCCCCTCACTGAAACCAATCATGACTTTCGTTCTCAGAGGCCGGATCCATAACACGCAGTCAGAAACCAGCCGAGCACGCCACGGGGCATCCCGCAAAGCACTCAATGGATTGAACTCGACCAAGCAATCGAGCAGGGCGTTCCGGCCTGAAAAGTCTTTCAAGGGGCCTTCGGAACCCCGCTTGAGCTCTCCAAGGAGTACCTCCAACGATACCCAGCCCTTTGCGAGAGTCGTGGAGCAGGAATTTGACATAGACCCAGGAATTGAAATGAGGGAGATGGGTTTGCGGGATTCGAACGGGGATGTCGAAGACATGGAACAATTTGGAACGGATGGGCAAATAAGAACACATCATGTTCCGCTAAAAGATGTGGCCAGAACCACACCAAACTTTTCTTGACTCGTTTGTTGAGCGGAAACCAATGGACCATGGAAATTTAATTATCTCTAAAGTTCTCTACCTGACCTATAAAAAATTGTATTTAAGACTTCGTTTGGAAGAGCAGGCGCACGGGGCTTTTTTCTTTTTAAAAAAGAGCGAAACACGATCGATCCGTACTACTCGGATATTCGTTAGAATTAGAGGATTTATCCAGACTACCTACCGGACCGAGGTTATATCATAGTTAGCAACGGTTATAATTAGCTATAACGCACCTCTTAGAATTAATAATTATATTTTAATTAATTATAAATTAAAGAGTAACTATTATTAGTTAAGGAATTATTATTATTTTAAATATAATAATATAATAAATTTAATTCTTTTATTAAATATACTTTATAATTTAATTATACTATCTTTATATTTTTAATATATACCTCTATATTTTAATTATTATATAACATTATTAGTAGGTGAGCGACTAATTGTATGCTTAACACGGATGCTTTCCGTCTAGAGCGATAGTACGTATATTACAATCAAATGTGATGCTAGCAAATGTATGGCTCACGCGATTCCAAAATGCATGGCAAGACATCTAACATACGAAGCTTCGAACAAAAAAAAATAGACTGGGTGTCCCGACGAAGCAAAAACAAAACAAATGGACGATGCCGGAATCGAACCGGCGACCTTTCGCATGCTACTTGAAGTGCGAAGCGAACATTATACCCCTAAACCAAACGCCCATTAGTCATGCACTGGCGCCAAATTCCGGAGTCATAACTGCTCTTCGGCTTAGTGGGCGTGGGATTGCTAGACGACAAGTCAACCTTCCGAGACCTAAACTATAGTTGTATGAATTACAATTATAAATTAGATTGTGGGGGCGATCGCTTGGAATGGAACAAAACAAACTCTAGGAGAACTGAGACAATGAATGGAGGAAGAGGTTGTGACTGTCCGAGACCGTGGTTTTAAGTCTGAGCATATGGGCAGAGTTGAGCTTCGTTTTGGTGGACATGGAGCTAGCTTCGAATTTGCTTGTCTTCGAGTAGAACAGGGGGTGTTTATCAGGCAACAGCTCGTGTTAGTGGATTGCAAAGTGGCAACATCTCTATCGGGTGCCTATGTGTATAGAGCGTCAAAGTCCCCTGATTATCGCATCCGCAATCTTCTCAGCAAGCATGTACACAGTAGCCTGCGGGTTCGCAGGCATGGCAAATGGAAATGCACTAGCATCTACAACACGCAGCCCCTCAACACCAAACACCTTCGCCCTCGAGTCCACCACGGCCATGAGGTCTTCAACCTTGCCCATCTTACACGTGCCGCTCGCGTGCCAGACAGTGGACGCCGACTGCCGAATATAAGCCAGTATGTCCTCGTCGGTCGTCACACTGGTGCCCGGAGCAAACTCTGATCCAACACGGACGGAAGAGAGCGAAGGGTCTGCAAGCGCTTCCCGGCAGCGCTTGAGCGCAGCCACGGCGACTTCGGCGTCCGCCGGGTCCGAGAGCCATGCGAGGTCAAAAACAGGAGGGTCCTTGATGCTCGTCGAAGTTATTGTGACGTTACCACGGGACAACGGCGCTGTCAGGGTGGCACTCATGACGCCTACTGTCTGGGAGGTATTGCCCGATGTGATGGCGAATCCGAAAGGGATGTACTGCGTCTCTGGCCAATCATCTGGGAAATCTGCGAGCTTGTCCCTGGTTTCCTTGGAGAAGTTGGCGCGCAAGCGTTCGGGGATCTTCTCGAAAGAAAAGTATCCGCCTGCCTGACTATACGGGCCAGCCTGGTGATCGTGGTACTGCCTCAAGGTCTCATCTCGGACGGACGGGTCTGGGGAGTCCACCAAAGTCCTTCCTGTTGGTGTGCTCATTCCTTGCAAAACGCTGAATGTTATCTGCTCCCACAGATTCTGGCCTACTCCGGGTAGATCTTTGATAACTGGGATACCGAGAGACTGAAGCGCGGCGCTCGGTCCGATACCTTGAATCAGTCTCGTGTTAGGCCAACTCCAGTGTGATAGTACTGCGTGATTGTCTTCGACTCACCAGAAATCATCAACAGCTGCGGAGAATGGAATACGCCTCCTGAGAGAATGACCTCTTTCCTAGCGGTCAGTGTGAAGGCTACCCCCTGACTTTCAACTGCCACGCCTACGGCCGTCTCCGCTGCAAATAATATCTTTGTTGCCTGTGTGCGGGAGTAGACCTCTATTCTAGTTTCACTCTCTGCCAACTCCAGATAGCTTGTCTGTGAAGAAGACCGAGTGGCATCTCGAGGATCGATCGTAGATGACGTCCACCCTCCCACGCCGCTTATCGACCCGCTGTTTAAGCCCTTCGGGGCAGGCGCCATTCCAATGCCTTGGAGAGCGCGCGCAAGCCACGAGGTCGTTGCATCCACCCAGTTGCCGAAAGATACATGAAGCGGCCTCTGTTCAGCACCAGTGACCGCAGAAAAGGCATCCGGGTCCCAGCTCGGCGTCGCGTTGGGGGCATTGCGCTTCTCCAAGTCGGGTGGCGTGAGTTGGGCGCCTGCCTTGAAAAGCGGCAAGACGCTGTCCCACTGGTAACTATCGTCACCGACCTCCTCAGCCCACCGGTCGTATGTTCCCTTGGATCCGCGGACATACGCCAGCGTATTGAGCGCGGAGCTCCCGCCCAGCGTCTTGCCCCTGGCGTAGTGAATGGTCCGCCCGCCCGCACCCTCTTGCGGGGTTGAGATGAGGTCCCAGTCGACCAGGGGCTCGCTTTGGTACGTGGCTGGATCTGTCCCGAGGACCGGCATGGTCAGCGCGTAGTAGGGCACCACGCTCTGGTTGCCCGTGTCAGTCTGGTACGAGCCCCCCGCTTCGATGACGGCGACGGAAAAGTGAGGTGCCAGGCGAGCCGCGATGGCGAGGCCGGCAGTCCCGCCGCCAACAACTGTGGAGATCAGAATGGGATTTAATGGACTATATCGGGGGGAAGAAATATCTTGCCGATATAATCGTATGTGGCATTTCCTGCGGTCTCCGGCATGCACTGAACCGCGGAGGCTGCAAGTGCCACAGTCCCTAAAAGGAACAACATGGTCATTAGAAACAACAGTCAATGATGAGGTGGAAGGAAGGTAGCGGGGACATTGGACCGTCGCAGAGATGTTGTACGGGAATATGTGAAGATTTCTGACCCATACGGCACTCATATTATCCCCTGCCACTAGCAGGGGTCGTTGGAAAGCGTCATGGGACCCCTCCCTAAATCGTCCCTGTTTGCAAGCCCGCCCGGATATGCATATAGGTGCCCAGGCGTCTATTCAATTTAGCGGTCAGCACTATGGCATTAAGCTCCAGGACTATTTAATGTCATTTTCATTTTGCCTTCTCTCGCTTCTGCCTAACTAAGGGCTTGGTAGTTGTTTTAGTTCGTCATATTGTTCTATCAATGTCGTTCCTTTCATAATGTTCTTCAATACATGCGGCTCCGACTTTATGTCCCATGGTTCAGGAAGTATCGGAGGGGCTGTGAATGGTCTCGACCCAGGGGCCATGCAATATTGCTTGTGCACCCTGCTATTTCGATGGTATACTCGCCATCCCGAACAACGTCGTAACATGCTCCATATCATCTTGTATCCGCCGCAAGCTTTGGCCCAGGGATGCGAGAGGATAAAGATACAATCAGTAGCTGGCAATGCTCAAGTATGTGGCCGGTTTGATGGTCGCAGACTGCCACGACAAGGATATCACGCTGATGAGGCTGTCCATGGTCCACGAGTGCTAGTGTGTAGTGAATAGTAGCCGATGGAAAGGAGAGAGGTTCCCAGTCCGGGACCCAGATGGCGCGGACAAGTCGTCTTTCGCGTCTGGTCGAGTTGCAAGGTCGGCAATCAGAGCGGAGAAATATATGCATAGCATTACCAACCCACAGGATATCATTGCCGGAGAAACTAATACAGCAATCCAAAAACCTAGCTAGATACTGTTACTTAACATGTGCTGGTAATTTACCAACCGCTCCCGGGCACGACAGAAGCGTTCCTGTGAGGACTCGACTTGCGTAGCGCAGCAGACATCCGAGAAGCTTTGGAAAATGGCAAGCGAAACACGAGGCTAGATCTCGACGGCTACTCTTGAAGTAGAAGCATCTCTCTAGGCATTTAGTCGCTTGGCCGACCTTGGAATCTCAAGCTCTCATTCAGAGTTTTCAAAGCCTCGTCGCGGTGGGCCTCGACATCGAAAAAGTGAATGAAGTCCCACCCCCGAGGAAAGTCCCCCTCTAATTTGGTCGGATCTAGACCAGTTTCGCTGCCTCGGCCGGTCCAAATAAGCCCTTGATCGTGGCTCGCCTTTACAACACGCTGGGTTCGCGGCCGGCGCGCGCTATCATAGATTTTGAGGGCGTACAGTGCTTCATGAGGTGTCTTTGTCTGGCCAAGCAGTGTGGAAAGGATGAGCGCGTCTTCGATCGCCATGCCGGCGCCAGACCCCAGCCTAAAATTGTTCTGTTAGATTCCATTGCCAGCAACCCCAGTATGCGAACAACAGGTGAGTATGTAGCACTTACCACGGTGTAGTGGCATGAGCAGCGTCACCTAGCAGACACACAGCCCCGGCACAATATGTAGGAGCTGGGACCGCATGTTCCCAAAGGTATAACGCGGTTTGTTCAGATTTCTCACAAAAGAACTAGTGATTGCATGTATTTGTGAGCAAACCCTCGATATTGCAGGTGCGAGGAGCCGGGTGCACATACCGCCTCAATGGCTTCCAACAAACGTGGTGGCCAGTCGTGGCAAATTTGTCTTATTTCATCGGCAGACACAGGACGAGTATATGCGTCGACGGGATTTTGATCTTGACAAGCAAGCAGCAAGACTACCGCCTCACCTCCGTCGAAGATCGAATACATCGAGGCCGCGCCATCGCCGACCCATAAGCGCTGCCAATTATCATGGATGTCTAGCAGCTGTTGAGCCTCCACGTAGGGCTTGATGCTGAACAGATTCCACCAGCTTGTTTTATACGGGTGGGCACATGGATCATCAGGCCCGAACATCAATTTGCGAATGGTGCTGCGGATGCCATCGGCACCGACCAGGATGTCACATTCATGTGCTGTTTTGTCCGCGCTGGGATGGAATTAGTTACGTGCTCAAGTTCTCGAGGTGCGAGGAACTATGGAATCAGTGTGTAGCGACCAAAGTCGCAGGAGACGAGTGTAAGCACTTTTATCACGATCCGCACATCGGATGTGCGGGCCCGGGTCCTGCAGGACATATATGTATGTGTAGAAAAACCCAGTACACGTACAACTGTAACTCCAAGGAACCGTCGGCCCTAGTCTGAAAAGCTTCAAGTTGTTTGGATGTATGCATCTGCTCTGGGGGAGCATCCGCCAGGAGGAGTCTCAGAAATGCTGCTCGGGAAACACTCCTCAAGATGTGTTCGACGCATCTTCCCCCGTCTTCGCCCACCCGGGCGATGGTGCGACCCTGGTCGTCTCCGACTGCCATGGACGCAGTGAATCCGTTCAGTTTGAAGGCGCCTGCGGCCTCGATACGGGCCACGGCATCAGGGGAGATGAGCTCGAGCGCCTTGAAAGCATTGTGGTGAATCCCAACACTGGCTCCGGCCTCCCTGAATTCGGGGGCGGCTTCAAAGATGTGCACGTCTAGGTGGCGGTGTTGGCGGAGGGCGTAGAAAAGCGTGGCGCCTGCTAGACCACCACCGGCGATAGCGACACGAATCCCTTTGTCAGGCGGCGGCATCTCGAGTTGATGTTGCGGGCGTTGGCTAGATTCCCAAGGATTGGGGAGCGCTTCTGGACTTCGGCTCTAGGTTTCCAAGAAAGCGGGTGACGGATTGACTCCAACCATTTGAACTGGTGCTCTTCTCGGTTTCGGTTGCCAACAGCGACTGCGCCGCACCGTGCCTTGTGGAACTACCTAGGTACTTATAAAAGATTTATGGTTCTGGTGGAATCTTACCAAAAAGTGTATCCGGCTACCAGGGGTGTCCGGGAACCCGAATACGTAGTCTACTCTGCTAGTACCGGCCGGCAGAGCAATGCGCCTGATTGCTATTCAAATTGTAATTTAGATTGCAGGTGGTCAGCGTAGCAATTCCTGCTTGGTTAGGTTAGTCGTTGAGTAAGAGGCCAGCGCTGCCCCAACTAAACAGGCAGAACCATACACAGGCTGATCAGGCTAAATAGTCGTTCTTCCATGTAACGATACAAGACACCAAGCAGGCCATGATTTTGAGGAAGGGGAGTTAGATAAGAAGCCGCCTTACCTTGGGCGCAGCACTGTCCCCCATTTGATGTCCCCAGGTGAGCAAAAGACGTTTTATCAAGCCTACATCTCGGAGCTTTCTCTGAAACTGAAAGCTACCTTGGTGTGGGTAATGATACCGTGTCACTTTCGAGTTTATAAATCGTGTTATAATAGTCGGGAGGTAAATATTCATGTAACTGTTGTACTATAATTCTAGAGCATGTTCCGGTACATCAAAGTCCTACAGCCTCGTACAGTGCCTGCTGCGTTTCTTGACCGCGCCAAGTGTTATGGCTTCTGCTGTGCACAGGTTTCCTCTCGAAAGATGCAGCCGTGTGAGCCTCTAAAGCCACCATATCCATGCGGGTCGTAGATCTCGCGTCCCGGATCATCCTTTGTAACCAATACTTAGTAAGGCCTGCAGCCAGATATGCAGTTCTGTGCTGACCTGCCCAAACAAAACCACCAAGAAACCCTCGATTCTCGACTCTGTCAAGCGGTTGTCACACAACTTTGCATCCAGCTTGGCCCTAAGCCAGGTGTATATCTGTTGCGTCCCCGCTTTTTTCATCCAGCCGTGATTTCTTCCAACTTAGTAACGACATCCACAAACCTGTGCGAAATTCTCCCTCGAGGCATATGATTATGTGGCTGGTACCCCGATTCTCGAAGCCTCGTCAAGAAACCATCAGTGGTTCACCGGACGAATGCTCTGAAGTTTGCAGTAAGTCTTTTCTGTAGGTAGCAATGACTCAGGATTGACCTGTCTAAAATGACTACAGATGATGCGATACTCGAAGCCCAAACTAGGGGTCAATTACCGAGCCTTTGTGATTCAAACAGCGCTTTTCAGAATTATGTTGCAGGGTGTAATACCTGTTTTGAGGTTAACAATGGGACTGATCGAACCTCAATTGACTCCAACCTGGCGCCATATCTCCAATTTTGTCAACTCGAGGACACACTCCCTAGTCCTACTATCGACGTGTCGTGGCTCATAACGTTCACAACCTTCACACCTACTACAATCAAAGCAGTGCAGACGCTTGGCGGTGTATCATCCGTTCAGACATTGTATGCACCAATTTTAGCCTGGTCCACACTTCCAAAATATTCATTTCACCAGTCTGTTAGCTCGATGATTTCAAGCTATATACCTACTTCTGTCTTCAACGAGCTCGCGCACTCCATCAGCTTATCAGCCGAAGCCGCGAGTGTGACTGGGGACGCTACGAGTTTAATCTATGCAGCCCTGGAAGCGACTTCTCTGCCTAGCTGGTTCACAGGTGCTATTCCATCCACCTACTCGTCGCAAATGAATACGCTACAAGAGCAAATTAATCAGCTCCGGGCCACACCTACCACCCTTGCTCCACCTACTTCACTAGCGAGTTCCAGTACGAGTAGCTCTGGATCCGAGCTGCCTTCCCCTAGTAATACTTTGACTGCAGGTATGTCATTATTTAGGTTAACATGCTACTTAGATACTGACTTGCGTTGTTTTAGAGGGCTCTGACACCGGGAGAAGCATTGCCTGGATTGCCGGGCCAATAATTGGCGGAATCGCTTTGATATGCTTCATCATCGTCGGTATGTTCGTATACCGACGCCGCTACAGGCGCAGGGCAGAACAGAAAGACCTGGATGGCGATATAGCCCGCAAGACATGGGATAAGCCGCAGCTTCATTCAGAACACCTTCCACCAAGGCAATTGTACGAAATGGACGCATCAAATGCGCCTTCTGAGGCTGACAATGGCATGCTCCCTGAGATGACTGTCAATGAGGTACCAGCTAGTGAGCTGGCGGCTGGTGACCATGATTCAAGAATATCTATAGCCAGCAGAAGTGTGGCTTAGCCCGAAACATTTGCAGAGGAGTTTTGTGAAAGGCACATGGGATAGATGGTTAGTTGGAAGATGAGATGGTTAGTTGGAAGATGAGATGGTTAGTTGGAAGACAAGATGTTTAGTTGGAAGACGAGATGGTAGCTGCGCAGTATCGACAGGGTGCACGCCTCGCATATCTGGTGGACTGGGCGGGCGAGAATAACAAATATCTCAGTATTCAAATCCAGAAGAACTGTGGACTCAATGTTTATTTGCTGATAAACTTTGCACACTTGCACACAAAACGGAAAAGAAAAAGATAATGTACAGTCACTCAAGCTTAAAGAGAACAGTACTAGAGTTTGGAAAAGTTACAAATATTATGACGCATTTAGAGAGGTAAAGCCAACGCACTTGATTAGGCCCGTTAGTGCGGCCGCTTCTCTGTGAGTCTTTCCAGCGGTGCTTGCCTATAGAATAAGAGATCGGATATTCGCACCCGCCAAAACGGAGGGTACACCCATACCAGGAAACTCAGAGTTCAAAGTGCTTAGTTTGCACCAAGCTACAAGTAATTATCTCGTAGGTGTCATATAGGAGGTTATCCTATAGGAGGTTGTCCTATAGGAGGTTGTCCTACTAGTAGAAGAGGTTGTCCTAGAGGAGGTTGTCCTATAGGAGGTTGTCCTATAGGAGGTTGTCCTATAGGAGGTTGTGTTCCATAGGAGGTTGTCCATAGGAGGTCATCCCGTAGGAGGTTGTCCATAGGAGGTCATCCCATAGGAGGTTGTCCTATGAGAGGTTGTCCCATGAGAGGTTGTCCCTTGGGGCTTGGGTATACCCTCCGTTTTGGTGGGTGCGAATATTCGATCTCTAGAATAAACTGGTTTCGCTTCTATTCCCCATACGTCTGGGGACATGGATGGCGCCTTCATATGGTGCTATAGAATAAATAATTGAACATACGCTCGTTGCCCCTAGAATTATAATAGTTCAGGCAATTGCGTTACATGTTCTTAGACACAATCTCCTCACTTGAATTTTGAACTTTTGGGATGTGGCTATTGCTGCTTGCGATAGTTAATAGAAATATTCAGCCTTCGTCATCTTGCATCTACCCCTCAGAGAGACCACCAAGCATCTTATTTGTCAATGGGCATTGTAACTGGATAAGGCGTTTCGTTCATAAGATCAGCATAAACCTGGTTAGAGTGCAAATATTATTCTGTAGCACTCCAAGAATGTGATCTTCAACCGGCCTGCGAATTACCTAAAAAGTGTATTATACAATCCAAGTTCTCGTTGCAGCGACATACTAAAGCCAGTGCCGCACTGCAGGCAATGTACCTACATAGGTATGTATAGCGGCACTGGGACGAACTCTGTCAAAGGACTGTGTCAATATGCATTCCACCGCGGCATGGAGACAAAACTGACCTCTAGCTCCAAGTGGGGTTGAGTTCTTATTATATGCTGTTGCTCCTATTTGTCCATCTTCCAGTAGTTCCTTATGATACCCCCATTGTTTTAAGTGTAAGTTCGACCTCAACAGAAACACCGTACCGACCGTTTAGGAAGTTTCTGTAAGTCCGGCACGAGACGGCACGATATCGATCCGAGACCGATGTCGGTCTTGTATGGGGCTGTAGCGAACTGAACCACTTCTAACTACCAGCGTGGTACTCAGAATCGCCTGGAGTCAGCGGATGAGTTACCTGGTTGGTCATTGTGACATCTTCATCATGCCTGCGCTGGTAATCAATGGCTGCAGTAAGCAGATCCATGAGTCTGCCCGAAAAGGATCGTTCCAGGTCGGGCAGTCCGCGGCGCAGGCGGGCCGATATCCACTCGCCCCAACCCTTTGCCCACCACACCCCTCGTAACTGGCTAACGAGAAGCGAGTAACAAATAAATATGGCCACCGCAGGTCCTTCATGTCTTCTCAGTCGGTCCATGTATTCCTCAGAAACGTCAAAGAGCCAGACAAATACGTCGGTTGTCTCAACCACAGCTTCTGAAGACCGCCCGAAGACGTTGTGAAAGGACTTTTGCAGATGCTGGATGGCATCAGTGTAGATCACCTGCTCCGCAGGATCGGTGACTATGTCCCGCAGCAATTCCAAGATGCTTTCTGGATCGCATGTTGGACAAGAACGGGTCTTCAGAGCGCGTATTAAGCCCTGTTCAAACATAGGTGCCAGTTCTCCCTGGTGTAAGATGACTAGGTGAGGTAACATGATTAGCGTCTTGATGCCCCTGAACAAGAACACCCAGCTGAGGAGGTCCTCCTCATCGTCATCGGCGTCTTCCGTTTGTTCTGAGCGGGAGGCAAGCTCTCCATTCTGGGCCAGTGAATAGAAGCCAGTCAGGGTTGAGAATACATAGACTGCTGTGCAGTTCTCTTCCGTGACATTCTCCATCTCAAGCTGTGCCTTGCTGAGCGCCCCATGGTAGAGCTTGACACCTGTGGCCCAATAAGACATTCTGGCATGCGGTCGTAGGTGGGACAGATGGAGCGCGGAAACTGCCAGCAACGCGTGCAAGACGTAATCTGTTCGCAGTGCGATGCGAGGGACGCGGTCTTGCCACACCTGCATGGCCGGTGCATTTGAGGAAAGTGTCAGTGATGTCGACGCGGTGTAGTGGTGCAGCAATTCCATGTGTTCCAAGGTGAACATCGGAGTACCCGGCACTCCCGGAATGCTCGGCGTTGGGCCTTGTGCGGCGGCCTTGGACGTCATACGCCGAGACGTGACGGCCTCATATACACACTCGGCGTTGTGAGCCTGGCAATTTGCGCACTGTGGCTTCTCCTCTCCACACTAAGACTTCGCCATTAGAGACAGGTCCTTGAAGTTGGCCCTTCACTGGTGGGCTGCTGCTTGCCTTGACACGACGACGCTTGCAGAGCGTACACCCTGTCCTCGCTTTCCTGTGCGGCCTGCGCATTACCGTCCGCCCGGGCGGCGTCGGGTCTGATGTCCCAGGCTCCGACATGGTCAAAATGGGTGGGGCGCCTAGTTCAGAATCGGCGGATCAATCCATGTGTCTATGAACCAAACTTTGGAGGTCAGCGTTGGTGCCGAGCGGCCGAGGTAGACGAACCGGTTCAGAATTTATCTGATCCACATCACAGTCAAGGGGAAGGGGGTGAATGAGTCGTGCCAAGAACTGGGGTGCAACATGGGAGTTCGATGGGGCACACGGCTTTCGACGCGCAACATCCCCTATTTATAGCATGGGCCGCTGCATGTGCTCTATACGGATACGCGTGTCCACTAACCAATACCCTGCATCCCGTTTCGACCCCACGGGCTGTTCCCTCACAGACCACCAGCATGGATACATACTTGTGTATTCTGCTCAATGAACCTGCATCCGCTAGCATCGGCAACACAGGAGGGCGACGCCGGTTGCCACGGGTCTCTTATTTTTGGGGCACTGCCACGGCAGTAGCAGGAAGCATACTTCAGTGGCCGGAGCGAGTCAACATTCAGCTCAAGCCTGAGGAACGTTTTTCCGTAGCTAAGCGAGCCTTCTCGCTAATATGTGGTGGATGACCTCAAGTTCGAGACGAGGCCAGGAATGAAACATTCATCTTGATTGTTCTGGATCGCTTCTGGCCTCCAACCTCTGTCTTTGTGTTAAGTAAAGTTGAGTGCATCTGGGCCGAGTATTCCACCCCTAGGACGGCCCGGGGACGTTGTCGGTCGACTCCACCTTTGCAGCAGCTCACCGACGAAGGCCCGCGATAGGCCTTCACATTACATACCTACTTAAGTAGGTACCCAGATATGGAGTAAAAGTATGACGACATCCGAAGAAATCCGTCGATCTTTTCTCTGAAATTCACATTGCAAAAGCTGCCCTGGAGCAAGCTCAGTGAGACTACTGAATCAGCATCTTCCTGCTTGGATCTTACGCGTCTTCAACCTAGTTCACCCTAACCACGTCCTTCAGAGGCGATATAACTCGGGGAGAAACACGGTAGGTGAGTGATCGGCAACTTGCCTGGTGTCCATAATTGATAAGTTTCGGAGGATAATAGAAATCCGAAATCAGATTTGAGCACTCAGTCGCATAGATTGATAAATCTGCCACGAGTTGGTCTTGAGCGTTTACCACAATACGAAGGGGCCATGTATGTCCTAGGACGTATGTGGAATAGAAGCGAAACTAGCCCTATATCAGTATTCCACTGTGAGACAATAGCAACACGGCCAATGCAATCTCAAAAAGACACCCGAGCGCTGGTGAATTTATGCCCGAAGGATCCTCTAAAATAGCCCGACCAGCACCAACGACAACAAGGTCGACGCCGATTGGCTTGGCACGGGCCATAGCCAGCCCCTGGAAGCGCGAAGAACCAACCGTCTCGCTCCTCTCATTATCGCGTGATGGGGACAACTTCATTCTCGCATCTTCAGTCACAAACGAAGGCAAATGAGGTTACCAGGACGGCAGCTGATACAAGTTTATCTTGACGTACGAACAAATGAACTGCTCACCAGTTCCATCCCATCCTGACTATACGTATCAGCACCCAGCTATGGCAGTGGAACGTGGCCAGGAAAGTGAGGCGAAGCCCGTCGTGCTTCGTAAACTGGGAATCAAGTCAGCTTTACCTGTTCCCGCCACTGCCCCATTGATATCTCTATTATGCTGACCAAGTAACAATTGTTTAGTGAGACGTACCAACTGGCAATGTATCAATTGGATCAGTATCGCGGTACCATCCTGTCTTGTCGTTATGAAATCCCTCATCGACTAGCAGAGTCACAAGACCAGCTGGAGAATGCAGTGAGGATTGCTGTCGCGGATACGATCATGAGACACCCGATGCTGCAAGTCAGCATAATAGATTCTTCTTCCAAGACTCCCTCTTGGATTCAGCTGAAGAGTCTCGACCTGAAACAGCATATCATATGGGTTGACGTGATGGGAAACGACTTTGAGAGCATGGCTAGGGGCACCTTCAGCACCCAGCTGGATGAGCGTTTTCCAGACCTTTCCAGCATGCAGCCGGGATGGAAGGTCACCATTATTCGGCAGGGAGATACTTCCATCCCTTCTATGGAAGTCATGCTTACATGGAATCACCCTTGGTTTGACGCGATGGGTGCTAAAGTGTTTCACGAAGACTTCATCACGGCTCTCAATGATCCTAACAGAGTACACAGTCAGACCTTATCGGGCTTGGATGGCAACATCCTCAAACTGGCCCAGGACCCCCTCTTGCTGCCTAGTCCTATCGAGGCCGTGGCGGGTCTACCAGTACGTGTGAAGGTCCTCGGCAAGGCCCTTTGGGACGACTTACGGCCGCAATTCTTGAATCGCGATATAACTTGGGCAGCGTGGTGCCCGATCCGCCCAACCCCGTATAAGACTCAATACCGGGATTTCTGGGTTGACCAAGCATCCTTGTCTGCAATTTTAGCCCTGTGAGTGTCTTTGGATAGATATACTTTCCCACCAATCCCACGAGGCTGGCCGTGGTCACCTTGTGATCGCTTCCACTCGGGAGACTTACTCATGTTGTCTTTTTGGTCACTGATTCGATTTGCTGCAGGTGTCGACGAAACAAGACTACTATCACGGGCTTGATAAATGGGTTAGTTCTCATCGCCTTCTCCTTGCGCCTGGACCGCGCGGCTGCGCCAGGATTTCAAAGCTCTACTATAGTGGACCACCGCCGGAATCTCCCTCCGGCCCCACAGAGTGCACCTTGGATTCGGTCAGACAGAGCAGTTAGCAACTATGTGACGCAGTGTCTCCACAGATGGGATACAGATCTCACGGCACGGATCCGCTCCAAGTTCCCAGCCTCTGCCAGCGATGGCAAAGGCATGGATCTCTCTGCTGAGCTCCAGAGCGAACTTTGGGCTATAGCTGCACAAAACCGGGCCGAGATAGTACAAAAACTACAAAGCGGGCTACGAGATGATCTGGTTGGGCTGTTTAAGTACGTCGCAGACTGGCAGCAGACGATGAGTGCTATGGCGAAGAAGAAGCGCCAATTCACATGGCTGGTTACAAATATCGGTGTGATCGACCCCAGTTTATCAACAGCGGGGGCCGTCGGCGGCGATAGCAGCAGCAGCAACCCTGATGCCGGGGAGAAGTGTTCCATCAGTCGAGCCCGATTTGGCCTCAGCACCGAGGTCCCTTCCGCAGCTATCGGATTCTCACCAGTCAGTGTCTTCGGTAGGGGCATGAGTGTTGGTGCTAGCTGGCCTGATTGTGCTGTTGAAGACGCGCTCGGGGACCGCATCGTGGCTGATATGGAGACGTGGCTGGCTCAACTTGCGCGGGAGTCTTGATGGGATAGTGTGGTGCGTCTTGTGATATGCAATAAGTAGAGACAACTAATATATGTGTATCTACTAGAGCGGTCTAGAGTGATAAATATAAAAAAAGTTTAAAACATTAATTCACCTACCTTACCCCTTCTACTAACTATCTCTACTTTAAAGTCTTTAGTTTAAACTTTTAAGAAGTTATATTTTTTATTTATATTTTTTATTTATATTTTTTATTTATATTTCTTATTTATATCTTTTATTTATATTTTTTATTTAAATTTTTTATTTATATATTTTATTTATATTTTTTATTTATATTTTTTATTTATATTTTTATTTATAATTTTCATTTATAATTTTATTTATACTTTTATTTATTTCTTTTTTATATTTTTATTTATATTTTTATATTTTTAAAATATTTTTAATTTATTAAATTAATCTTTTTTATTTAATTTGTTTTCTTTCTTTCTTTCTTTCTTTCTTTCTTTCTTTCTTTCTTTCTTTCTTTCTTTCTTTCTTTCTTTCTTTCTTTCTTTCTTTCTTTCTTTCTTTCTTTCTTTCTTTCTCTCTTTTCTTTTATCTTTTATTCTTTTAAATAATATTAAAATAAATAGAATATTTAAAATATATAAAATATTTATTAAATTTATTAAATTTATTAAACTTATTAAATTTATTAAATTTATAAACTAATAGTTATTATAATTTAAAGAAAGTAAGAGGGTGAGAGTAAGAGTGGCTTTTAAGAAGTAGGGTGAGTGTATTAAGTTATTCACTATTTTTAACTTTTTTTATATTTATCACTCTAGACCCCTATAGTCTACCCCTAGATACTTGCTTATACGTGCCTTCCCCTTGCCCGCCTTCTACCTACCTAACCACTGACAGTGTGGGTTTTAATAGACTGAGTAGCTTAGCAGCCTCGCCTCAACTACCTAAGTAACTTATAAGGTTATCATGTAGATCTGCTCTGCTGCTGAGACGATAACAGGGCGAATCACAATCTTAACGTGTGTGCCCAGGTACTTGTTATAAGCTTGCCCAGCCACCCTAGGTAATTTCCGGCTACCGGCTGACCCTCCCACCGAGCCCCATTCCCCGGCCCGGCCTCGAAGCTTGGCCGCTGCCGATCCGCCGCTCGGATCCATGGATGCTTCCTTGATGAATAGATCTCCTAGGTTCCTCTTTCCATAATTTTAGTCTATTCTCTGCTTCACCCCATACTACCAAGTAGCCGTCGTCCTCATAGGAGACTTCGATCCAAGCTCCTTTACCGCTCGGCGCTCGGCGCTCGGCCCCGCAAAGCTGGGTCAGGGTTGACCACCCTGACTCAAAAGAGACTGGAAGCAATATCACTGCATCTCATGTTACTTCCTGTCATTAGAAGCTATCTGATCACACATGACTGCGGCGGCAAACATATCATATATCACGAAACGTGTTGCAGCTCATCCAATATGAGCCACACATTCATCAACAAGTCGGCGAAGGGGGTTGTTGTCGACGGCCCGAGTTCCTCCGCGGCGTCGCAAGTACTTGCGTTCCACCAGAACTTGCCTCACTACGAGCAGACACCACTACATTCACTCCCACAGGTTGCTAAGGAGCTACAGCTCGGCCATGTCTTTGTCAAAGACGAGTCCAACCGCTTTGGACTGCCGTCTTTCAAGGTTCTGGGCGCATCATGGGCGGTATACCGGGCCCTCACAGACAGGCTACGGCTAGAACCGGCGGCCTTCATGGAAGACAACCGTGGAAGCCAGTTCTGGGCGCGCCTGGGAAGCATGGCGAGGGCTGAGGAGCTGAGCCTGGTGAGCTGCACCGAAGGGAACTGGGGTAGGGCGGTCGCTCGAATGGCAAAGTATATCGGGGTACCTGCGGCGATCTATGTTCCAAGCTTCATGCCTGAGACGACCAGGGCGCGGATAAGGTCAGAGGGCGCTGAGCTGTTGGTTGTGGATGGTAGCTACGATGATGGTGTTGCTGCAGCTCGGGCGGAAGCAGAGAGGAATGACCTCGCAATCTTGGCTATGGATATGGGCTGGGAAGGATACACAGCATTTCCTAGTGTATGTGGTAACTCGATGTCCTGACTAGAGCCTTCTGACTGACATGATATCAGTGGGTCGTGGAAGGGTACAGCACCATGCTCAACGAATCCGACCTACAGATTAAAGAAGCCACCGTCGGGAAAGCGGCCACGCACGCTTTCATCCCCGTGGGCGTGGGGTCCATCGCCCACGCAGTCACTCAACACTACAAGGCGTTTCCTAATGGCCACTCATCCCGAGCCTCCGTCATGACAGTCGAGCCCACGACAGCCGCATGCCTGAGGGCGTCGCTGGAGTCAGGCGAGATGACCACGGTAGAGACCGGGGACTCTATCATGTGTGGTATGAACTGCGGCACACTATCATCCACGGCCTGGCAAACACTCAAGTCCGGGGTTGACGCTGATGTCACCGTCACGGAGGAGGAGGCGCACGCAGCTGTGGGTGAACTGTCGAGCATGGGCTTACAGCCCGGCCCGTGTGGCGCTGCTACTTTATCGGCGCTACGGACAGCCTGTATTCAGGCACAAGACGCACTGGGCCTTACTCAGGATGCAATTGTGGTTCTTTTTTGTACGGAAGGCAAGCGTGAATATGAAATACCCGCATGATCGCTGACGAGCCATCTCCCTTAGAATACACTGACAAAGACACAATGATAGCTGTCACTGCACAATAACTGCTCTCGAATTTGCTGAAATCCACTATTTACGCGTACCTCGTGATATGTTCATGAATGAACACGATCGACAGGCCATATTGTAGACCGTGCAGGCCATCGTGAAAAGAAAAATAAGAGAAAAAAGGGGTATCACAAATTTGCTCCAGCATCATAGAAGAGAACCACTAGGCCGAAGCCCTTAGACAACAAAAACGATTCCAATGCCCGCTGAGAGAATCGTCGGCCAGAAAGAAATCCGCACATCGCCATGGGCATTCGAAGCCGTAACAACACCGCTAGGTCCAGACGGCGAGGTTGCTTTGGCCGTCCCATTCGGACTGCCAGTAGCCGTCTCGAGGCCGCCGGCTTGTTTACCAGTGGGTGTCGCCACATCAGGAAGAGTCGGGCTTCCCGAAGCCGTGAGCAAGCCCTCGCCCTCCCCCTCCCCGCCGCCAGTCCCCGTCACCATCGACATAGTCATGGTGTACGTCATGTCACCGACTGACTTCTGGAACGGAATGCTCGTCGGGAGCGGGTGCACCGTGGTCATGATGATCGGCACGCTCGTTACCGTCACCCGCGACGCTGAGGCGGGAGGGGCCGGCGCCGCGACGGCGGCGGATGATGCGCTTGGTGGGCTGCCGGCGGTGGCCACCCACTTCTCTATCATGCACTGCTGCATGAGCTGGTTCTCGACGAGCTGGTTGTTCTGCTTCGACGGCGTGAGGCTCAGGATGTAGCTGGTGTCGAAGCTGCCGGCGGCCCAGCCGACGAGGCCCATGAAGACGTCTGAGTTTTGGTTGATGAAGCTGTTTTGTGAGCAGAAGTCTGTGAAGCACTGTTGGCAGGGATGTGGTCAGAATCTAGTTGTTCAGGATAGGATGCATCTCTCGATGCTTCCTGGAGGGTATTATGATACTTACTGTGGCATCGCTTGATGCTCCAGTCTCACTGACGATGCCCTTCCGGCCTGTCGACCTCAGAAACTCCGCCACGGTGGTGAATGCATCGACATTGTCCGTCGTGCAAGTCTTGTGCGTCCCAGAGTTGTCTTCATCCAGGTACTTGTGGATGTCTAACAGCAGATTATCCGTCGTCCCATCCGGGTTCGTCACGTTCATCAGCGCCGCAGCGCTCCCGCTCGACACCAAAGTCGCGGCGCTGTCGAAGTTCGTGCCAGGGAGCAGAATCATCTGACTAGTTGCGCCGGCGCCCCTGATTCCCGCCACCACCTTCTGGCAGGTCGCAGCCCAGACATTGATATCCAGATCGTGCGGCTCGTTCATCAGCTCAAAGACCATCCGGTCCTGGTCGGCATACTTGGTCGCCAGCTGCGTCCACAGCGCGACGAACTGGTCGTCGGTCGGCCCACCCTGCCCGATGATGCCGCCATTCCACCGCGCAAAATTGTGTATGTCAATCATACAGTGCGCCCCAGTGCTGAGACAAGCTTGCACAAGCTTGTCATACTTGCCGGCGTTGTTGGGGTCGAGGTCACCGCCAAGCTGGTTGTTGACCAGGAACTGCCACGAGACGGGCAGCCGGAACAGATTGAGTGGTTTGTCCAGGGAGGACCAGTGCTGCATCTGCCCCGGGCCATCGCCCCCTCCGCCGTTGCTGCCGAGGGGCAGCTGTGTCGATCCCGTCGGACATGTGCCGTCTATCTGGCAGCCGAAGTCACCGCCTGCTATGGCGACTCCGAGGAACTGCACCTGTGCGGCCGCGGTAGCCACCAGGGTCACGGCAAGGAAACTTGTATATAAAAACATGTTGTTGTTGTGAAGCGAAAGACAATAAAAAAAGAGAGAATGAATGTGTCGAAGAGAATGGCTACTTCATGGCAGGCCCTGGACGAGTGAGGGGAATTCGGTAGTCCGGAGAAGCTTGTCTTGTGGTTGGCAGACGAGTCGAGTCGATATATCAGAGACTTATCGTCCGATGTGCCCGCAGCACTCTACTATTTGAACGTTGGTGCCAAGGGGCGGTGCCCCCCAACTCACAGCTAAACTGCATTGACTCGTGTGACAGGGTTTGAGGCGTCGTCTATCTTTGACCATGGTTATTTACTCCAACGGGCCTGTCTCCTGACAGAATGCGACTGTGGCCGCCCGAAAATTCCCAGCATCGTGGCGCAGGTTTGTGGGCACCTTAACAGATTGATGGGCTTTTTCTTGGCAAGTGTGCTAGTGTCTGTCCGTGAGTTTCCCAGGGGTTGCTGTACATCAGACGCCGCGGGTTTCAGCACTTCAGACGGAAACCAGGGAATAGCCGCGATGCCATACAGGTTCATGCCGCGTGCCCAGCCGCAGGGGGCCAGCCATCTTGGCAACGGCGGCGCCGGGTTTCCATCTAGGCATGTAAGTCCGACGGTGGTGACTTCTGGCATGATCCGAAGGACGGTCTGCTGTTGTTCGATGTCACATACTCCTCTTCATGATTTACACTGCAATCCACTTTACCTTGCCGAAATTTATTAAGGGTACTTTATGTGCTACTGCATAAGAAGCCGTTAACCTTGCTCTACTTCTGCCGTCCCGCGTGATTACCCTCCGCGGTTGACCTGTCACTGGACTTGCCAGACAGCCGCCAACAAACCATCTTCAATTGGCTGTTTCATTTGAGGAACAACGGGCCAGCCTCCGAGCCAGCCGAGTTTCTTCGGGCCCAGATGAGGACAACGTTGACAGTCCCTGCGCCTGAAAGCTCGACTCTGGCATCTCACGTCCTTTAAGAACCCGTATAAAGACGTCTGCTCGTGGTCCGATGTCTGTGCGTGGCCAGTCTAGACATGACAGATTGCAAAAGAATTGTCAATGCCGAAGTGAAGACACTTCAATCCAGCTTCAATGTTCAAAGCCGATAGCTATGCAACTTTACACGTAGCTAGTGTGACATGATGCTATTAGAAGTGATGGGTTTTTGGAACAATGAACCTATGAGAACACGGTTTTCAAGAACTTCAAGCTGTCTGGCCCGGGAATACTCTCTGCCTCCACCGGAGTTTCATTTTAGCAGCCTCTCCCTTTTTTTCAGCATCCATGGATTTACTGTCTCGGCGAAAGGTGGACCATCTCACCTTTCCCAAGGGGGTTTGAAACATATCTAGGTACTCGTGTGGGCTCGTGACAATGCTTCTTCTGTACGTGTCAAGCAAGTCGATAAATAGAATTGTGGGATAACTGGCGAAAAATGACATGGGCGCTCATTGACCAATGATCCTATATTAGGAACATATACATACTAGCCACCTATCGTATTATCACTATCGTCATCGACAATGTATTCTTTCCAAGCGCTGGGTCTTGAGTGCTTACCACCGTATGAAGACGCCTTGTATGTCCTCGGATGTATACGGAATAGAAGTGAAACCACATACATACTAGCTATTCCGACAGCTTGAAGTAGGTTTTTCACCACGCAAAAGAGATACAATGTGACCAATCATGAAATTAACATGGGCCGAAAGGTACTTTCCATCGACCAGTCATACCATTGATCCCGACGTGGATACACTTCCAGACTATTTTTGGATAACTAAAAGTCAATAGAACACTAGCGTTGAGACGACTGCGTGACGGGCCGACAAGGCAGGAGCTAACAGCTTTGGTCACTACGGTCAAGCCGTGGCCCGGAGAGGATTACAGCCCCCGAAGTTTTACTAGTACAAATAGCAGAGATAGGAGGCTTTGATCAGCCATGGCGCGGAATGACAAGACGCGATGGTGCAACTGCGCCCCGGGGCAGGATGGGGGTCTAGTCATTTGCAGGAAGATGACATCAAGATGCAAATCAGTCTCTCAAGCCCTAACGTTACGCAAAGCCCAGCTATCTGTAGGCGCTCGCAAAGCGATCGGGACGCAATACTCGCAGGGCCTGTTCTCTGGCACCTGGGTCGTGCCTGAGAAAGGTTCGGACAGGCTTGATGACACCGCCAGATTGCTCCTTCTTCGCTGACGTTTTTGAACCAGCACTGGACTATAATCTATTGACTATTAAAAGCTATTTCATCTTGAACACAACTTAACCGAAGTGTTATATATGCAGTGGTTGGTTCCAAAGTCCCCATGTGGGCGAAATCGTCATGGCGAACGCTTCGATTGTGGCCAACGCGATCTGCGACAAGTGGTATCGACGTGCTCAAAGCAATCACACATATGGAGCAATCTTAAGTGACTGTGCTGAAGATCCTGCCGCATATAATTGTCGGCAGTAAACCCTGGAAGCTAGCCTCTCAAGGCGAACCCAGATGTAACAGGAGGTACTAGAGTAAGTCGGCACACCCTATAATATATAGCTCTACTAATATATATAAGTTATTTAGATTAATATAATTAAAATTATTGAATTATAATATATATTAAGGTAATACATTTTTTTTTATTATTTTTTATAAATATAAAGAAATATTTTTAAAAAGAAATAGTTTTAATATATTTATTTTAATATATTAAAAATAATAAAATAAACGTTTTATATTTAATAAATATTTTATTAATTTTTTATTTTAAAAGTATTACATATTTATATTAAAAAAGTAAAAATAAATTAAAGTATTATATATTATATTTTAATAAATAATATTTATATTTATTATAAAATAATAATATTTATAATTTTAAAATATTTATATATTATATAAAATAATTAAAATTTAAATTTAAAACTTTATTTAAAATTTTAAATTATTTATATTTTTAAAAATAAAATATAATAAATTCTTAAAGTTAAATTAATTAAATTTATCATATATAACGTTTTATAATAAATTTATAATTATTTATAAAACTATTTATTAATATTTAATTTTATTTAAGTAATTTAAATTAATATTATTAATTTTATTAAATATTATTAATATATTTTTATAAATTTAATTTTAAGTTAAATTTAAATTTATAAAAATTTTAAACTTAAGTTTAAAGATTTTTATTTTATTTATTAATGATAAAAGAAAAATATAAAATAAGAATATTAAAAGATGAATAAGTAAATATTAACTTTATAAAAATATAATTATAAAGTAAATAAAATAAATAAAATAAATAAAATAAATAAAATAAATAAAATAAATAAAATAAATAAAATAAATAAAATAAATAAAATAAATAAAATAAATAAAATAAATAAAATAAATAAAAAAAATAAAATAAATAAAATAAATAAAATAAATAAAATAAATAAAATAAATAAAATAAATAAAAAAAATAAAATAAATAAAATAAATAAAATAAATAAAATAAATAAAATAAATAAAATAAATAAAATAAATAAAATAAATAAAATAAATAAAATAAATAAAATAAATAAAATAAATAAAATAAATAAAATAAATAAAATAAATAAAATAAATAAAATAATAAAATAAATAAAATAAAAATAAATAAAATAAATAAATAAATAAATAAAATAAAATAAATAAAATAAATAAAATAAAAAATAAATAAAATAAATAAAATAAATAAAATAAATAAAATAAATAAAATAAAATAAATAAAATATATAAAATATATAAAAATTAAAGATTAAAGATTAAAATTAAAATTAAAAATTAAAAATTACTATAAATATTTTATAAAAGTAATTAGTAAATATTTAATTTAATTATTAATAAATATTAAATAAATATTGAATAAGTATTAAATAAATATTAATAAATATTAATAAATATTAATAAATATTAATAAATATTAATAAATATTAATAAATATTAATAAATATTAATAAATATTAATAAATATTAATAAATATTAATAAATATTAATAAATATTAATAAATATTAATAAATATTAATAAATATTAATAAATAAATATTAATAAATATTAATTATTAAAAAATAAATAAAAAATAAATAAAAAATATTAAATAAAAAATAAAAGTAATAGTAAGGATAAGGATAATAATAAGGATAAAAGTAAGGAGGGGGGTGTATTAGTAGTGTGTGCTGCTGCTGTGTCTAGGTGGTGTATATTAAGGGGTTGTATTTGTAGTGCTGCTGCTGTGTCTAGGTGGTGTTCATTGAGGGGTTGTATTTGTAGTGCTGCTGCTGTGTCTAGGTGGTGTTCATTGAGGGGTTGTATTTGTAGTGCTGCTGCTGTGTCTTGGTAGTGTATAAAAATAAAAATAAGGATAAGGATAAGGATAGAGGATAAGGATAGAGGATAAGGATAGAGGATAAGGATAGAGGATAAGGATAGAGGATAAGGATAGAGGATAAGGATAGAGGATAAGGATAGAGGATAAGGATAAGAATAAGGATAGAGGATAAGGATAAGAATAAGGATAAGAATAAGGATAAGAATAAGAATAAGAATAAGAATAAGAATAAGAATAAGAATAAGAATATAGATAGAGGATAAGGATAAGGATAAGGATAGAGGATAAGGATAGTAGATAAGGATAAGGATAAGAATAAGGATAAGAATAAGGATAAGAATAAAGGATAATAATAAGGACAAGAGTAAGAAGGGGGGTGTATTAGGAGTGTGTGCTGCTGCTGTGTCTGGTGCTGTGTCTGGGAGGTGAATATTAAGGGGTAGTTTTAGTAGTGTGTGCTGCTGCTGGGTTGTGGTGCTGTGTCTGGGAGGTGAAGATTAAGGAGTAGTATTGGTAGTGTGTGCTGCTGCTGTGTCTTGGTGCTGTGTCTTGGAAGTGTGTGTGGAAGAGTGATTGGGATTGGGATGGTTGTGTGTGTGCTGGGTTTGTGTAAGGATGAAGAGGAGGGGCAGGAAAAGCTGATCAAGGTGGGAGGGATGCTTTCTATTTATGTTTTTCTGATCAGGACTTAGCGTGTTGTAATCAGTTCCTTTCGCCTCTGTGGCAGGCAAACTTCATTAACATGCTCAAATTTGCAATGAACCTAGGCATTTAGTGTGTTGAGTGAAGATTAGAGCTAAAGTGGCTTATGCTTGTGACTCATAGTGGGTGAAGTTAATGGCTTTTAGTAGTGTGTCTTAAAGTGGCCAGATATTTTACAGTACACTAGATTCATACTATATCCCTTACCAAAAGGTTAGCCACCAGCAAGGTGGATGATGGTTGACTTACAAAACTGTCCGGCCCATACCAGCGACAATAGAGGCCAACTAATGTCGTCCTTCTAACACTTGGCAGCTCACCTGATTGACACGTAAATCGTAAATACTAGTAGACACCCTAATGAGTCACCGCAAATCATAGGCCATCTGTGTAGTATCAATTTTAATTAGCGTGTATCCATCCTGATATTTCCACGTATTCACACAAAGCAGTAGTCACAGCAGCCGGCTAGCTGATGGGAGACTTACAGCCTAATAGTCACACAGCGATTCCACTCAGGAAGCCTATCGATTTCCGAAGCCACCACAAAAGACACAATAGCATGGCGGTGGGCCAGTGGTCTAGCCTGGCTAGACCAGTACTAACCTTGGAAGCTAAGTATCCTGCTCACCACTACGACCTCTAGAATGGACACACCAAATCTGTACAAGGCTGAACGAACCTCGCAGGGCGTACTAACAGGAACCTTGATGAACGTTTCGAGGAAATTGTTCGATTGTACATGCATCGGCCCTACCACTTCGGTCCTGGTTTACCTCCCCGTCAAATTGCGGGCCAAAAGCAAGGGACATCATGGGCTTCAGGATCGGCCCGCGAGGGAGCCAGAATAAGCAAAATGGGGGAAAGGAGCAACGTTACCGTGCGTGCCGTGTGAGACCACCCTGCCGAATAGATGTAGGATACACTGCAGGTCACATAGTGCGTGGCGTCAGCCCCGCCATAGCGATGGTCCCGTGTTGATTTTCGTGAACACATGTGGCCTTTTCCTGAACGCGGGACACTCAAGAGCTACCTCAAATTCCCACTGAAGAGATCTCTCTGCCCGACAAGGAAGGAAACATGGCCAACACAAACGAAGGGGGGCCCAACCTCTTAAAGCTCGCCCCGGAGCTCCAGCTCAAAGTCTTCGAGGGCGCTCCCCAGCCCGCGGGCGGCCATGGACCTAGCCATGAGCTGCCGGGCCCTCCATATCCTCTGCGACACATACAAGAAGCAGATCATGGCCGCGATCAGGGACAACATGGTGGCGCCGTTCTACGAGTACTACTCCTTCCTCGGCAGCATGTGCATCCCCGAGTCGAAGATCAAGCCATGGGCGGATATGGCGCCAGAGGAGCGCGCAGCGCCTCCCGGCAAGTCCGACTTCGCCGTCGACGTCGTGCGGCACCTGCCGCGCGTCGCGGAATGGTTTAACGGCGCCATCGTCCCCACCGACGACGTCGACTGCCCCCTCAAGGAGGACGTGTGCGGCGGCGGCGGCGGGGGCCCGTTCTGCGTCGACCCCTGGGGCGCGAGCCCCGAGTCCGGCCCGTCTGGGAGGCACTGGGTGGCCGTTGCTAGGACACACCACATGCGGGTCTGCTGCGACCTGCTCTTGGACACGAGTACGGGGATGCTGTCGCAGGGAAGGAGCGCCTTTGGGCGGCGGCTCGAGGTCGAGGCACGCCCTGTGCGCGAGTGCCTCGCGCTCAGGATGAGGTGGTGTAGGGAGCTCAGGCTGGTCCTCGTCCCGGGGGTTAATGTCTTCCACCTGGACAAAGGCGGCGGAGGAGAGGAGGGGGCTGCGTCCTTGGATGCCGCGGCCTTGGAGGAGGTCGGGGCGCCGGTTTGTCCTGATATGCAGTTTGACCTGGCTCACGAGGTTGATAGAAAATGGGTTCGGCACCTGTACAGGAAGTTTGGCTGGCCCGGCGGAGACTGGGACAAGGAGGAGGGCCTGGAAGCTATTGAGGAGTACAGGGAAAGAAGGACCGCGGAATTTGATGAAAGGATGGCTGAATTACGGAGGAGGAGAGATGAAACGCTGCGGCGACTCGGCCCTGTGGTAGGGACGCTGCATGGCTTCTAAGCGCTTCTAAAATGGCATTACTACCCTAGGGTAACATCCACGATGATGTAGGTGTTGAGGATGTCGAGTACGTTATCGGCAAAGGCAACATACATATGGTCTACATACATCTGGCCTGATCTGCCTGCACAAGCATCGGTGAGGCAGTGCTCAAGGGAGGCCAGGGCAGATGTCAGCAGGGTCAGGGTATGATCGGTGCAGGTCTAATCAGTCGAGATACATACTAGTAACTCAATATCGAGGGCGCCAACGACGAAACTGTGAACGACACTCCATTACCACTCTATTAACTATACTCCACGACATGCCTCTCACGGCCTATACTCACTCGTGGGCCTCAGCCCCAGCCCAGACTTCTCATACATCATGTCCAAGGCCCTCATCTGCGCCATGCTGTTCTCATGCGTGAAGAACGTCCCGTTGCCGGGCCGCCCGCGGACCCGGTTGACAAACTCCTCCAGCTCGTAGCGGTACGTGGGCCAGTATACCTCGCCGGGCCCGTCGACGCCCATCTCCCGGAACGAGTACGCCTTCCTGGTCTCCCTCCTCACATACCTGCGCACCTCCTCGCCAGAGCCCCTCCTGGCGACGACGAACTCGTCCTCGACGTCGACGCGGTGGTAGACAGGCGAGAACATAAAGTTGACAAAGACGACCGTCCGCGTGCGCCTCGTCTCCGTGCCCTCGCCCTCGTCCCCGCCGCCCGCCGGCTCGACGACGACCGCCCGGTGCCGCACGGTAAGCGTCGGCCACTCGAGGCGCAGGTTGGACCCCCGCAGCCCGCCCTCGACCTCGCCCACCACGCCGCCCGGGAACCGGAACTGCGCGCCGAACATGCCGTCGCACCGCCCCCGCGGCGGCGCCATGGGGACCAGGTCGGCGCGCACGCACTCCTCGGGCTCGGCGCCGAGCGCCGTCCGCACGGCGGCGACGGCGTACGTCCCGACGTCCATGGCGGACCCGCCCGCGAGGCCGTAGTCGAAGCGGATGTCGTCGTCCCTCGCGATGAAGGAGGGGACGACGGCGCGGGCGCGGGCGTGCGCCAGGGTCGGGCGGTCGACGACGGACAAGAAGAGGCGCCACGAGGGGGCGAAGAAGCTGTGGAAGGCCTCCATCAGGACCGGGGCGGGGCCGCCGTGCGGGTGCTGCTGCGCGAGGAGGGGCGAGCGGAAGAGCAGCTCGGCCTCGGCGGCGTTGGAGGTGCTCGGCTTCTCGAGGAGGACGTGCTTCCCCGCCGCCAGGGCCCGGAGCGCCCACTCGAAGTGCAGCCCGTTGGGGGTGGGGATGTAGACGGCGTCGATGGCCGGGTCGTCCAGGATTGCTGTGGTGTGATGTCAGTGAGTGTTCAGTGGTGATGGGACATACGTAGATGGAGGATAGATAGATGCAGAGGCACCAGTGACACTCACCCTGGTAGCTGTCCCTGACCTCGGGGATGCCGTGGCGCTTGGCATAGGCGACGGCCCTGCTCTTATCCCTCGCGGCGACGGCGTAGACGACGATGTCCGGGTGGCTCCTGGACGGGGTGATGAAGCCCATGTCGGCGATGTTGGCGGCGCCCAGGATGCCGAACTTGAGGGCGTCGTCCTTCTTTGGCGCGAGCGGCTGTCTGAACATGGTCCAGTTGCGGCGCACAGCACCTAATAGTGAGGCCATTCTGCAGACGTCGTGAGTTGGATGAGTTGTGAGTTTCAGTGTGATGAGATCATCGGAATTCAGATGTGCGATGAGGGGGAGGTGGTCTAGCTCTCGTGTCTGTGCTCCTCAGGCTTTGTACTCGAGCATTTATGTTACATGCGTCAACTGGTGTGCGCCGCCTGCCACCCGGATTTTACAACCTGTATAGATACAGATAGATATTGAACCACAGCACCCTCCCTCAGCACGACCCTTGCTCAAGGCAACGGCCCAACTGGTTCCTCCGCATCGTGGCCTTGTCGGATGTAAAACCCAAAAATACCGGGAACTTGCCCAACAGCCCGGGGCACATGGCAGAGTTGGCCCGAATGCCGCTGTGACAGGTCTCTTTGACGAGCACCGGCTGGCCGGCTCAACCTGCACGGGTGCGGCACAGGCGAACTGCATGTGCCCGTGGTGGGCCCGTGGATCCGGCCACGAGGTTCGACTGCAACCTTGGAACACTCTTCCGCGTCAATGGCGCATGCCAAGATATGTTGGTACACCTCGCATATACCATATTACAACAACAACACCACTATATCTTCAAAAAGGCTGCCTGATACCATCACGGAATCACTGTGGAATGCCTGCCCGTGGTGTACTGCCTGAGAGGAGGCTATCCTATAAGGAGTGTACCACAGGATGTCATCTCATATATACAAGTTTGCCCATTGGATATCGCGCCATATAATGTCGTTCTGCAGGGAACTGAGAAAGGGCTGTGGGTGGCAGAGATACCGTGGCCGCGCAGCAAGCACCGAGTACCGAGCAAACATTTGAGATGGACATTCTTCAATAAATAATTAAGTAACTATGATCCCCCCTCCCCGCCTTTCCAAACCCCAGCGGTTCCCCCAGCCCATCCTCACTTACTCCCCTTAAGCGCGTCAAAGTTATCAACAATAGCATCCCCCTTAACCAGCTCCCACACCTCCTCGATCCCCCTCACAACCTCAGGCTTCAGCGGGCCCCTCCGGATCCCCTCCGCCGTAAGCGTGACCTGCTCGGGCCTGCTCGCCCCGACAATAACCACATCCCCCAGCTCCTGCCGCAGCGCAGAGTGCCAGTACACCCACCGGTACGCCAGCTCGGCCCTCGGGACCCCCTCCTCCTCCGCGAGCGCCTCCCACCGCCCCAGGCCCTCGAGCAGCGCGGGCTTGTGGTAAAAGTCCTGGTACATCTTGGCGACGGGGGCCTCGTGGCCCCGCCTGAACCGCCCGTCCACGGTCCCCTCCTCGAACGACGCCCGCGTCTTGGTCAGGAACCCGCCGGCCACGGGCGAGTACGCGTAGAAGGCGATCCCAAGCTCCCGCAGCACGGGGAACAGCGTCGCCTCCGTCAGCCGCGACACGGCGTTGTAGTTGCCCTGGTACACGGTCGGCAGCACGTACCCTTTTGCGGCGGCATACCCGTGCAGCGCCCGCACCTCGTCGGGCGAGAAGTTGCTCACCCCGAACCGGGCGAACTTGCCCTGCCTGTGCAGCGCGTCGACCTGCGGCACCCACTCGTCTAGGGGGCAGGTCGCGGTCCGGGCCGTGCACGTACAGGATGTCGACGGCCTTGGTGTGTAGCTTGTCGAGCGAGGCGTTGAACCGCGCCGTGATGTCCTTGAGCGCGCCCGGCTGCCACCCGCCCGGGTTCTTGGTGGAGATGGTGAAGTGGTCGGCCGCGTTGACAGAGCCGAGGTCGGCCTCGTTGTTGTCGTACATCTCGGCCGTGTCGATCTCCCTGATCCCCGCCGCCTTGATCGCGTCCAGGGCGGGCTGGAGCTTCTCGCCCGGGAAGCCGGCCGTGCCGACGGCGAGCTTGAGGTCTGTGGTGGACATTGTAGGTGGGTGGGTAGGTGGTGATGTGATGGTTGATGTACTGCTTGGAGGTGGGGAGGTGGAAGGGAGGAATGGCAATAGAATGGGTGATGTTGCAGTCGAGCTGTGGATGTGAGGGGTAGATGCTGATGATGAGGGTTGAGATCAGGAGCAGGTAATGGTGATGGTGACAGGAAAACCTGCCTTTATAGCACTTCAAATCGTCTCGAGTGATTTACGAGCCGTGGCTGTGAAAGCTCCCACAGATTCCATCACACTCGAGATCGTTTTATTAAGCAAGCAAAGTCAGCGGCATGTGGAGAGAAGGATGACTGGCTGATATCAGCCACACATGGCAGACCATAGTGCACCCAGGATGTCAGGATGCATGCAAGATGAGACAGACAAAGAGAGACGGGCGTCACGTCACCGACACGGTGTTTGAGGCATGTGTGCTCTGCATGCAAAGTTTAAGGCCTCACCCACCCCTCGGACGAACCGACAGCAGATCGCCAGCTAGCCTGCGCCAAAATTATGTCTCGCATGCTAACCTTATTATAAGACCCCCCAGCAAGTTGGGGAATCTGCCCCAAACAAAAAGACAATAGCACTCGAGCAGTTAGTAAGCACAGGTAGCACAGCTCTGCATCGAGGTCGACAGCCAAGAACGCGGGATGCAACTGCAGCTTACAAATTGAACCGTCCGTCTAACACGAACCCACCCCACACCATCAGACGTCCTAGTGTAGTCCTGCTTATTATGCGGGGCAGCGGGGCAGGCCGGGGTTTTTTGAGCAGTCTGGCTGATGTATACCACTTGTTAGGCCCACTGCCCAGCCGCCCAGCCGGTGGGTGATTCACGCCGTCGAAGAAGGGCATGAGAGGGCTGGACAAAGGGGCAGAGGTGCGGCACGTTGCGGCAGAATCCGTGACCCAGGCGAGGATTACAAATGCACGCACAGCTTGATACCGGCCTGGGATTCACACGCGCCATGTCAGCTGATGGCGCGCCTGTTGTTTTGTATGTAACCTGTAAACACGTCCTTCCTGAAGAGGTTGGTGGCACATTAGCAATGTTGAGCGCAGCTGGAAATCCACCACATAGATACCCGCAGGCCAAAACAAACACTTGGTGACGCGACCTTCATGATTAAATTCCCTCGGGGTAAAGCCCTACATCAAACAGAAATACTTCAAAAACGCTGTCCTGCCTTTGATGCCCCTTTTCGCGCGGGGCCAACTCATCCAAACGCCACAGACGCCCTTGCCGGTGCCATTTGGTGCCAGTTCAGCCCAACACAAAAGACGGATACTCGAGTATGCATCCTCCATGTGGCACTGAACGCACCTTCGTAATCATAAAAAGACGACTCCCTGCTGGTATTAAGCTCTCGCGTTATATCTGTTGGGTTTGTAACGGGCTCAACGAGCTGTTCACACAGATCGGTGCAGCACTCAGATATCGCTGTACACTTCTGATGTGCCAGTATGACCTCGTCCAATCGCTCCATCTCACCCCCTGTGCTCAAAGGTTGCTCTGCAGAGGTCCCCGGGAGTTTCACTCCTCAGCCGCCTTCTCAGCTGCCTCGGCCGGCTTCTCCGCGTTCTCGGCCTTTGGGGACGCCTCCTTCGACTCCGCCGTGGCATCTTCTGCCTTTTCCTCTGCCTTGGCAGGAGACGCTGGTTTTTCAACTGGCTTCTCGGGCTCGGCCACAGCAGCTGGTGACTTGGCGGCGTCCTTCCCCGCGGCCGCGGTTGTTTCCACCTGCTCGTCACTCTTGGTTGGCTCATCGGCCGCCGCTTCGCTTGGTTCCGCAGTGGCGGTGGTGCTAACTGGCTCTGCGTCCGTCGCTGATGGCTGGGCCTCGGCCTCCTCTTCCTTAATCGCAGGCGTCTCCTTCGGCTCAACGGCCTCAGCGGCGGGGGCAGCAGTCGCGGGCTCGACGGGCTCGGCCATGTCGACGTCTCCATCTTCGTCCACCTGCATGGTCGCCTCGGCAGCTGGCGGCGCGGGCTCAGGCTCGGCCTCCTTCGTCGCTGCGGGCTCCTCTGGGCCTGGGGCTTCTGTTTCGGGTGCGGCCTCGACGTCCTCCATGGTCTCGTCGCCCTCGGCGTTTTCAGTCTCGTCTGCCGCCGCCGCCGCCGCAGGAGCAGGCGATGCTGCCCGGGAGACAACAGGAGACGGTTGGCCACTGTCATCTTGAGGGGCATGCGGATTTTTGAAGTCCATGATTCCCTTGCGCTTGCCATTCGTCTGATACACGCCGTTGGCCTCGGCCATCTCCTCGTCGTCGCTCTCCTCGAACTCGTCGTCACGGGTGACTTTCTGCTCCCACCGTCGCTGCGTCATTCGCACGTCCTTGTTATGGTCATCGTCCAGGTCGTCCAGCTCGGCATCGTCCTCGTCCGTCATGGCGCCGAGGCTCTGACGGGGAACATCCTGCATTTGTACCGAAGGTGTTCCGGTCTTCTTCAGGTTCTCGATGACGGCATTCTTGATCTTCTCCAGGTACTCGGTGCTGTTGGCATTCTCCATGTTCGATGGTCGCACATTGAGCTCATAGTCAGGGCCGTAGTACTAAAGTCCGCTGTTAGCACGCAACATTCCAGGAGACCTATCGAGACAGAAGGGCTTACTTCGTAGTATTCGTTGTACGGAAGGACAGGGTCCATCTCTACTCCGACCAACCGACCGGTCTCGTATGCCCAGGTCCTGGCCACGTTGCGCATCGTGTAACCACCACCGCCGAGGACGAGAGTGGGCAGGTTGAAGCTGCGGACAAAGTTCACGCAGTTAGCGTGGCCACGCATGCTCAGGTTGAAGCAGCCCAGGCGGTCGCCCGAGAGACTGTCTCCGCCACACTGCAGGACCACGGCCTCAGGCTGGTAGTAGTCCATGACGGCCTGGATCACGGGCTGGAAGATGGTCTTGTACGTGTCGTCGGTGATGCCATCTCGCAGGGGGAAATTGACGGCGTAGTTCTTCCCCACACCGATGCCGACATCCCTAAGTTCGCCGGTGCCGGGAAAGTACTCTCCGTACTTGTGAAAGGAGCAGGTCATGACACGGTCGGTGGTGTAGAAGGCCTCCTCGACGCCGTCTCCGTGGTGAACGTCGATGTCGATGTACAGAACGCGCTTCTTATAGCGAAGGAGCTCTAGGATGGCGAGGACAATGTCTGCAGCAGACTGGCTCAGCATCAGGAGTCACGCAGGGGGGGAGGGCCAGGATCACCAGACGTACCGTTGACGTAGCAGAACCCACTGGCCTCACTTTTCTTGGCGTGGTGCAGGCCACCAGCCCAATTGATGGCGATGTCGCACTTCTGCCTGTTGAGACGAGCCGCGCCCTCCATGGAGCCGCCAGCACTGATGCCGCAGAATTCAAACAGTCCGTCGAACACGGGACAGTCATCACCGACGTTGTACTTGGTCTGCTCGCGCATGTAGCTGTCCATGTTGTCTGGGGTGACCCGCCGCAGGAAGTCGATGTACTCGTCTGTGTGGAATTGGGTCATTTCGTTGACGACGGCCGGCTTGGCACGCTGTCGAACGACTGCGTCAGCATTTGACCCTCGGGAACTGAAAGAACCTGGGCTGGCAACTGACATAGACTTCGAGGTACTTGTAGACGTTGTAGTTCATGACGAGGCTGTGCGCCAGTCGGATCCGGTGTGGCTTCATGGGATGGCCAGTAACGTACGCATAGTTGCCAATGTCGGAATCGTAAAAGTAGGCGACCTTCTTCTTGCTGGTGTTGAGCTTCTGGAACAGCGGCCGCGAGCGGTCGACTCCAGCTGGGTCGGTCGTCGCCATACTTGGACTCGGAGTGCAAGGCGGACCACGGTGTGTGCGTGCGCGGTCCAGGAAATGCTGCTGTTGGAATATTCGTTATAACTTGTTGCGTAACTTCAACCGGGCCGAGTCTGGATCTTTGGTAACAAAACAGAAGAGGTCAAGAAAGGCCTCGAAACAGGCTGGCAGTGGCAATGGCTGGTGGGTGTTGCGAGGGGGAAGAAGAGTTCGGAACAAGGATCCAGAAAAGGCGACGGCAGCCCACGAGAGGTGACGAACTTGGGCCACACAGAGAGAGAGAGCTTCCTTCCCGTTTTGCCTGCCCGCCCGTCCACTCGCTCGCTCTCGACACTTCGGGCGAGGGACCCAGGGACCTTGCTTGTACCGGCAGGGAAGCTCAGACCCCTGCCAGTGACGACGAGCTAGTCGTCGCGATCGCCATTTCATTGGCCGGCTAGGACAAAAATGGGCAGGCCACCGGCACGAAGGCAGAGAAAGCAGGCAGTAGCAGCAGCTGGTGCCGGCTGGCGGACATGATGAGGAAGGACCCGCTCGAGCTACGTCGGCAGGTCGGGACTTGGGGAGGTACGGGGTACCTAGGTACGTACCCGTTGCAGGGAGCTGCTGCTTGGTGCTGGTGCTGAGGCTCCAGGCTGCTCGAGCTGTCGTCAACTTGAATCAGACCCATCCATCCACCTCCATCGCAAACCACATCCCGCCTCCCGCCTCCCGCCTCCAGAGTCGCATCTCGGGTTGTTGACTTTCCCAACACATCACCACGCCATCCTTGCCATCTTCGACACAACCCAACCTTCCTCTCTTTTGACCACTCCCATCTGCACCCAACCCAACCCTCAATTCCTACGTCTCGCAAGCACCATGGACCAGTTCAGAGGACTGTTGAGTGGCGCCCGTGGCCAGCTCGGTGGTGCTCAGCCCGGATCGGTATGTCGCCCAGCAGTCGTCCCCAGACGGCCTGGATATGTGATCCATCCGCTGCCTGTCGCAATCATGATGCTGACCGTCCTCCTCTGCCGCAGGATAACTCGACCCTGATCGACAACTCCGAGACCGTCTACATTTCCTCCCTCGCCCTCCTCAAGATGCTGCGACACGGTCGGGCAGGTGTGCCCATGGAGGTCATGGGTCTGATGCTGGGAGAGTTCGTCGATGACTTCACCGTCCGCGTCGTGGACGTGTTTGCCATGCCACAAAGCGGTACCGGTGTCAGTGTCGAGGCTGTCGACCCCGTTTTCCAGATGAAGATGATGGAGATGCTGCGGCAAACAGGAAGGTAGGCAGCGGACCATGTTGGCGTAGCCCGTTACCCAAGGAGCTGGCATGCTGACGGAACCCTCTCGCGCAGGCCCGAGTCCGTCGTTGGATGGTACCACTCCCACCCCGGTTTCGGCTGCTGGCTCTCGAGCGTCGACATCAACACCCAGCAGAGCTTCGAGCAGCTCACCCCCCGAGCCGTCGCCGTCGTCGTCGACCCCATCCAGTCCGTCAAGGGCAAAGTCGTCATCGACGCCTTCCGGTTGATCAACCCTCAGTCTCTGATGCTGGGTCAGGAGCCCCGCCAGAGTACATCGAACTTGGGTCACCTGAACAAGCCCTCTATCCAGGCGCTCATACACGGCCTGAACCGACACTACTACTCGATCGGCATCAACTACCGCAAGACGGCGCTCGAGGAGAACATGCTCATGAACCTCCACAAGCACCCTTGGACCGAGGCACTGCAGATGGACGACTTCCGGTTAGAGGCGGACCACAACAAGGAGAGGCTGGAGAGGCTGGTCAGCCTGGCAGACGGCTACGAGAAGCGCGTCAAGGAGGAGACGGAGCTCACAAAAGACCAGCTCAAGACGCGCTACGTCGGCAAGCTGGACCCCAAGAAGCACCTCGAGGACGTCGGCCAGCAGCTCATCGAGGACAACATTGTCGCCGTGTCCAAGCAGATGATCGACAAGGAGGCGACCATGCCCAAGAAGGAGGGCGCCAGCGGCTCAAAAGATGCTGCGAACGGCGGGGAGATGGATATCGACAGCTGATTTCTAGGCTCTGGTGTGGTGGAATGATACGATTCATGGTAAACCATAATGGCACTGTACGACTAACATGGCGTTAGACTTGGCATCAGGCTGGGAAGGGCTGAAGGTAGATAGGTAGACGTGAATCTCAGAACCGTCTGGCTCAGCCTGCGTTCCGCACGCTATCGACCTGCCCCTACTTGGTCGCTCAAAGATTGACGGACTCTGCCTCCTTCCTTGGAATACAGCACATCTCATGACCTCTCCCTGTCACCGTTACTCGTCATGTGCCGGTCTGTCTGTGCTGTTGCGTCAGTCATCGAACATCTCTTTTGTCCCTGGGTCTTTGTGACCAACAATGACCGGCTTGCCGCGGTTTGTCATGGGTAAGGCTTGACTCTTTAAGAGTCGGACAATCCTCTTCTTCTCTAGCTTGAAGCGTTGGTTTCGTTGTTGTCTTTCAGCCGGACGGGACAGGAACAAAGTTGGGCCCCGAAACAACACATTGTTCCCATCGCAGGTCCCTTCCTCGCAACCACGTTTCTTTCTGTTGACCACATCATTCTCTTGAGCATCAGCTGCTCTTAAAACGGCGATGACCGGTTGGCTATCCCACGTTACACGAATGAACCCTTCTGCAATCATACCTACATCCCCCATTACTTGCATTAAAATATACACGGCCAGGGCAAGTCGCCGCGGTCTGGAACCAAGTGCTGCATTGCTTCTCCGGCTCACGCTCACTCCAAAAGAAGAACAAGAGAGCCTTCGGGTCGTGCAAGGGAAGAAATGGAGGGTGTACCGAACAAGTTTGTCCACCTCGTTGACTTTTGCTGCCTCGGCCGCAGGAAGAAGCACCAAGAACCCATCGAACTGACACCCCCCTCGAGGAACGCCTACGGACAGAAGCTCATGCAGACCCTGGAGCACAGGGAGAGAAGAGGCGGGCCCAGCACGACCACCCCCAACAAGGCAGACGTCTCCAAGCCCCTGCCCGTGCGGCCCCCGGGCAGGGCCTCGCTCGACCTCGGCAGGCCCGGCCGCCCGTCGGCAGACCTGAGCGACCTCGTCGGCAGCGACGCCGAGGACGGGGCCGTGCCGCACCGGTACGACCGCGCGTGGTACGAGTTCCTGGGCAGCCTGCACAACGCCCTGAAGCACACGCGCTACTCGATCAGCGGGCGCATGGGCATGAGCGTGTGGGGCTGCTCGTCGGGCGCCAGGTCGGGCCTGTCGGTCGTGTGCCCGGCCGAGTCGCGCCAGGCCGTCAAGCTGTGGTGCCTCAGCTCGTCGGGCCGCTTCAGCCTGACCGACTCGGAGCCCGACGTCCTCGTCTTCCAGGCGCCGGGTTCGGCGAGGGGTGAGCCCTCGCCGTCGCGCACGTGGCGCATCCGCATCCGCTGGCTGCGCGAGCCCGCCTTCGAGGCCATGCCCAAGGTCGAGATGGCCCTGCGCTACGACGACGGCAACCCCTACGCCGGCGAGCAGGTCGCCGAGGTCAACGTGCTGACGCTCCCCGCGCTGCTGGACAACTGCGCCGCCGCGTGGGTCGAGCACGTCCGCAGGCACGGCGAGGGCGCGGACGACCGCCGCATCCGGGGCATCGAGGAGGACGTCTTCTCCATCCTCGAGCGCGTCATGGACCTCGGCTTCGCGGAGCAGGGGTCCGGCCCGCTGACGGCGCTCGAGTGCCGCCACGTCGTCCGCGCCAGCTTCTGGGCGCCCTTCACCGCCAAGCACGCCGACTCGCCCGCCATGTTTGCCCTCTGCGGCCTGCCGCTGCCCCAGGACGATCCGACGACAACTACTACCACGGCGCAGCAGACTGGCCCGGGCGCCGACACGTCTTACGTCGAGGACACGCGGTTCTCCAACCCCCGGCCTGCCCCTGCTGTCCCGCCCAAGGACGCGGGCCGCGACCTGACCGCCAGCGCCAGACGGCAGCCTGCTGGTGGCCCGGCGCCCAAGTCCTCGCCCATCCACGCCTCGTTTCTGGATCTGTTCAAAACCCCTTCCGGCCGCAGGGAGCCCACCGGGACCGGGGAGTCGAAGCAGCGCCGGCACGCCGAGGACGCCAGGCGGCTCGAGGAGCAGGTCAGCCGTGGCGCGCGCAGGCTGGCGGACAGGGAGCGCGAGCGGAAGGGCCGTGACAGCGGCAGCAGCAGTGGGAAGGGGAAGGGGAAGGGCAAGGAGAGGGAGGGCAGAGATGGACGGGGCTTGACGCGGGCGCCCTCTTCGAGGCTGAGGGACGACGGCAAGGACAGCAGCACCCCGCGGTCGTCTGCGTCGCACCGGCGGGCGGTCTCTGATTCTGCCTCAGGCCCCGTCACGCTGGGAAAGGGCAAGGAGAGGGAGAGGGAGAGGGAGAGCAGCCGCAGAAGTGGGGCGGATCGTGTTGAACTGGACGGGCGGGGGGGCTTGACGCGGGTGCCCTCCTCGAGGCTCAGGGACGGCGGCAAGGACAGCAGCAGCACCCCGCGGTCGTCTGTGTCGCACCGCCGGGCGGTCTCTGACTCTGCCTCTGGCTCGGGGCCCATCACGCTGCCTGATGGGACCAAGGTAAGTTATTTCGACTCGTCTGCTCTTGAGAGGACGGCCTCCGGCCAGGGGCGGGTCCCCACCCGTGGTCACTTTGCCGATCTTTTCATCGTTGACGACGGGGAGGCGTTGTAAGGAGGCTGTTGTGGGAGTTTGTTTTGATACAGCGGTACGAAATCTGTGCCTTTGCTACAGCGGGGCATGACTAGATGTCTTCTCCTCGATTTCTTTTGTTGTCTTCGGCCTCCGTTCAGGAGGACACATACACATAGGTAAGCGGGTAAGTAAATCAATAACAGTCTCTTTCTCTTCACGCGATGTTTTTTTTTTTTTTTGGTATGCTTGACATGTTTTTCAAGAGGTGCGAAGGTTTCATTAAGCGGTGACGTGACGATGTCTATCCACTGTTTGTTGACATCCCTCGACCTCCTACTTTGTACCCTGGGCTGTTTCGGACCTTGCCATCGTAGAAGGCCTTCCCAAGCCCCAATCTTTTTGGTTGTCTCGCAAAAATCAACCAAGTTGCCTTGAGAGACTCATAGTAAGCGTTGATGAAGAGCGTGTTGACCCAAGCCTTTGCCCTTTGTTTGAGGCCGTCAAGATCAGCAATGCCTCTGGAGTCCTTGTTTTTTTTGGCTTTCGCAGCCTTCTTCTTCTTGTTCTGCTCTATCACATAAGCACCTCTGATCTGCTTCAGAGTCTTGTCTCCTGTGGTCTTTCGGCTGTTGCGACCAAGTATCGTCAACTGGTCTGCGGCTCTCTAGTCAGACAGTCAGCTAGACGTGCTCGTGTTTGGCTTGAATACTGTAAGCCTGAGGTGGCGATGAACCCACCAGGGAGGGGAAGGGTCATCGCTGGCGTCCATCCTCCGCTTTTCCTTCTTCTCCTTCCGGAGCTGCTTCATGCTTTTCTCGGAATCGGGCTTGGCCTTTTGGGTCTTGGTCTTGGCCTTGTTCTTCTTCTTGTCATTTTTGTCGGCATTCTCCTCCTCCTGATTAGCCCTCTCTAGGGCCGCGCGCTGCTCCTGCTCGTCAATCTGCCGCTGGTTGGCGCACTTGACACACTCCGTGTAGATGGAGTGAAACGAGCCCGGGTGGACCTCGCAATCGGCGTAGTGGCCGTTTGCGATGCACCGCTTGTTGCCAACACGACCGCACTTGGGGCTGGGGGTGGTGGGGTTTAAATCAGCTTGGGGGCTCGTCTGAGCTTGGGGGACGGCTTGAGACCTCGCCTCGAGACAATGCTTACCAGTGATGCATTGAGAAGGCAGGCATTTTGAATGGGTTCAATGGTCTTGGACAATGTCTTTGAGGGGACGAACTGCGACTTCGATGAAGATGAAGGGTCTTCGAAGGGGAGATTGGAAGGGAGATTGGTTGAGAGTGGGAGGTCGCTTGATTGAGAATGGGATGTGGACTGAGAATGAGACGTTGATTGATTGTGTATGGAAGGTCGGTTGATTGAGAATGAGAGGTCGGTTGATTGAGAATGAGAGGTAGGTTGATTCAGTTTGGACGGTCAGTAGATTGAGAGTGGGAGGTCGACTGAGAATGGGAGGTCGACTGAGGATGGGAGGGCGACTGAGAATGGGACTTCGACTGATCGAGTTTGGGAGGTCGGTTGATCGAGACTGAAGTCAGCTGTCGGTGAGGTCGATGTTTGTTGACAGGCAAGTTGAAGGACTGCTCAGAAGCCACCTCAGTGTGCGCGGTTGGTACTGAGCTGCCAGGTTGCCAGCTGTTGCTGTTTGGATTCCATGGCTCGTCTGGAATGGCTGGCAGGGGTCCTGGAAGCTGAAGTCTCTGTATAATTCACTTTCTGGTGTGGCAAACGGGCTACGTCGTGAGTCTGTTTGAAGGAGCACTCTCTTGCACAGACTGGCCGATGCGCTGTCGACGGACGCTGGCAACCTAAGCGAGCGACTCTTCAGCCAACCTCTGAATAGAGAACTACAATACAATCTAGCTAATTTCAGGCAACTGGGAGCCTCGAAGGGTGAGATCCTCAGCTCTTGGGCCTTTGTGGTGGAGTTTTGCGATGTACATCTGTCACGTTTTCCCGTTGTTGTTCGGTGGGGTCTTGCCCGTTCACCATTGCATGGAGGCGCCATGTATGTCCCTGGATGAATGCGAATGTAAACAAAACCAGCCAGTTACAAGGTGTATGGGCGGGACCATGGAAATGGCTCGTTCCTCGATAGCGAGGGCTGATGTCATTCCCATGGCGTGGAAAAGGGCGAGTCTGAAAATCCTCAAGTGCCTCATTGGCATCATGGATCTCGTCGCCAGTGGCTTCACCACATTCGCAGGACGGACAGACTTCAGACCAGCCCTACTTATGTGCAAATAAATAGAATCGCTTTCTGGTTGCCGGTTAACAATTGCAATCGATGTTTCGATACAATCGCCTTTCACTTGGTGTGTTTTCCATTGATAGCATGTGGCTCCTATGACGACAGCTCCAACCTCAGCGAAGTCTCTGTCCTCATTCGAGCCCTTGCAATTCAGATTGGGTTCCAGTCGTTTTCGACTACACACACCTCTTAACGCCAAGAGCCTCTCCTAGTTGCCGTCCGAAACCCGTGCGTAATCCTATACGACGCCTGCAGGTGCTGACTTCAACAGCCAGGGCCGAAGGACTACAAGCGTAACTCATTTTAGAGACTTGCCAGCGCGGCCTCAGATTTCCGAGCACCAAGCTAGCCAGTTCCCTTTCACTGTCAAACCAGACAAGAATTGAACAACCAGGGCAGGTAGCACAACACTCTTCATCTCCCATCCCGCTCAACAAACGATATGGCACCCTTTAAGTTGAATTCTTCCAGATTTACAACAGCGTCTGATTCCGTGATTGGTGTACCAAACATTAGGGCGCTGTCCAGTATAACGTCAGCGCGTTTTGTCCTGAAGTCAGCGCTAGATGGGCGCTGTGCGAGCACCCCGGGTGCTAGCTGGATATATGACGATAAAATGCTGGGAAAGGGAAATGCTAGAAATTAATCCAATGAATATAAATAACGGGCACTTGAGCATCCGAGAACGCCGACTCCAGAGTATGCCAGCTCACCTGAAAACCCATAATAAAGGAGCCTTCTCGTCTACACAACACTAATAAGACGCACGAGAGAGCGGGAACCGCGACGTCTTGAAACAAAATATGTCGGAATTACTCGTCATTACCTGCCCAAGCGGGAAACAATGCGCCCACCTCATCCCCTTGCTCTACAACAAGGGCCGGTGGACGCTCCGCCTTGCCGCCCACTCCCAAGCATCCCAGGAGAAGCTCAAGTCTCAGTATCCTGACGCCGAGGTGATCCCAACCGACCTCAGCTCCTTCAGCGATTGCCAGTCCCTCCTCACGGGAGCCACCGCCGTCTACCACGTAGGCCCGTCCTTCCACTCCCGCGAGCGCGAGATCGGGTTCAACATGATCGACGCCGCAGTCGCGGAGACGAAACGGCCGGGCAGCGCCTTCAAGCACTTTGTCTTCTCGGGCGTGATGGGCACCCAGATCCGCAACCTGATGCAGCACGAGCTCAAGGCCCTCGTCGAGGAGCGGCTGTACCTCAGCGCCGGGCTCAGCTGGACCATCCTGCAGCCCGCCAACTTCATGGACTTCTTCCCCGTCGCGCTGCTGGCGGGCCAGGAGCGGCCGGTCCTCGACAAGCTGTGGAGCCCCGACGCGGCCAACAGCATGGTCGCGCTGCGCGACCTGGCCGAGGCGGCGGCCAGGGTCCTGGACGAGGGCGAGCGCCACTACTTTGCGCAGTACCAGCTCGCGTCTACCCTGCCCACGTCGGAGAACGAGGTCGCCGGGATCATCGGCAGGCATCTCGGGAGGGAGGTCAGCACCAGGGCTCCGACTTTTGAAGAGGGTGCCGGGCGTGTCCTGCACTACTTGTTTGGCGCGGCGGCGGCGGAGGGTGACCCTCGCCCGGATATCACCAGGGATGAGGCCGAGAGGTTCATACTGTTCTCAAATCGCCGAGGGCTACGGGGTAGCCCCAATGTGTTGAGGTGGCTTCTCGGCAGGGAACCTACTACCGTCGATGAATGGGTTAGAAGGGAGCTGGAAGCTTTGAACAAAGAAGCCCGAGGGTTTGCCTAGCTTTCGGGGAGCTTTTCATGGATATAGAGAGGGATATTAGGCTCTCGCGTGTCTCTATAGGCCCCATGTATTCCTGTCGGTCAATTATGGTCTCAAACTAGAGCATGAGGCCTTGTGAGTTGAGGATTTGATACATGAACCATTTCATACATGAACGCAACCAGGTTCGAGGAAGTACCAGTGGCAGCAGTTGAATGGTCAGGACTTCCAAAATGGTCGTTGGCCCGTCTTTGAAAGACTCATAGCTTTGGGAAGCCTTTTGGATCACAAGATGCGGTATGAGATAATTCAAGGGGGTTGTCAAAACCATGGGCTTGTTGACTATCTGGGCGGATTACTATGCAACCTCCATACGTGTAGCTAGGTACTGATCTCGTACTCATTTGAAGCACCAGATACTATGTTCCCACCAACGGCATCATATAAAGAACAGCAGCTATCGGTAAAAGGTGATAAAGAACCCACCTGAGCAAAGTGTTTCAGCCGGGGTTACATGAAGGCGCCGGCTGTTGGAAGGAGGACCAGAGCCTCTTCTGCCGCACCATAGCGACTCCCGAGGTCGACTGCCAGGGTCCTGGCATTCGGGAAAATGTTGACTGTCCAGACATCACGCAACATATCGGCTCCGAAAAGCTTTCTTGGCTCTTCATAACATGTTCGGAATTTTTACTGTTCACGATATTTCAGAAGAAGAATGTCTAACTTTAAGCATCCATACACACAGTCCAAAACTTAGGCAGGTAGGATTTTGGGAGACCCTGGAGGGCCTAATTGATGGAAAGTTCAAACAGACCAACAAACATTGGTAGGGACGTTTTAATTTTCATAATGCTTAACAAATGCACGCTATTCTATTACTTTTGTTAATGTGTATCGGTGTTTTGTATTGCCAATCATTCGGGAGCTTCATCCGCATGGAAGCTTCGGTGATGTGTCTCCCACTCTCGCCCGCTGTTAAACGATACCGAACACCCGCTTATGCAAGGATAAACACGCTCGTTTTCATGCCTGTTACTGATATGTCGCTCCACATATGCATGGCTTTGGAAGCCAAACTCGGGGTGGTGCCTAACACAAGCAGTCACTGGACAACGCCAAGACGTGCTTGTGTGGTTTAGAGGGTGGTAGATGCGGGTACGGATTTGATGTTTTCTCAGAGCCATTTTGAGTTTAATCGAACTGGTTTCGTCTTCTGAATCTGAGGATAGGATTACTACTTCGACGTCTGCAGGTATAACAAGTGGTTGTCTTGGCCGATTCTTGGTTACTCCTGCTTTTCTCCTGCCATTATTTGCGGAACTGGTTTCCTTGCCCGTCCTATGTCCCGGCACGTCCTTGCTTGAACTAAGATCATGACTTGGCCCCTGCGGCGATGTGGCCAGTATTGTCGGCGGAGGTACGTATACGTGACCAGCGCTTAGCTCCCGAAGCCCTTGTTCAGCCCGTTGCCGTTCTTCCTCCTGGAGATCCTCATTTTGTGATGTGAAGAATAATGAATGCAGGTCGGCAACTCTCTTGCGGTCATCTCTCATCTTTTCTGGTATTTCGAAGTTCTCTCACCTAGTAAGGGTCAGGACCTTTTGGAGAATGGAGGAAATGGTTGGGATTATGGCGAGGCTTGTCAGTTGCGGACAATGTCTTTGCCGAGGCGACCGTGGGCATTAAATATGGCCCATTGTTGTATTCTTCCCTTTGTTGTGTCACGGCAGGGGAACTCTTATTGTTCATTTAGAATCACAGTTTGTTGTCCTTTGCCTCAATTAATCTATGAGACATAAAGCTGTACCGGCCACAAGGGCTACCAAATAAAGGAAGTCTTAGCTGGTTAGCAACATGGGGTCCGGTGATTTACAGTGTTTTTTCACTCGCCACTTGACCTCGTCACTTCTATCGGTGACGGGCAGAGGGTTTGAAACTACGATACCTGATTCATGAACCTGGGAGGGTGGTTATAACTAGCAGAGTACCTAGGTACTTAGACATGTGCTTATAAAGTTCAGCCTCCGCACCAACCCGAACCTTACACAACTCTATTGATATCTAGAGCATAGATAGGTCCTATGGAAGAATGAAAGTTGCTTGATAGCTTAAATTACTATAGCTAATTGGTCTGCTCTATCCATTTCATGATGCTGAAACTCTCTTAACTGTCTGCTGCTTGTTGCCTGCGGCTGGTTGGTCCAGTGGGCAAGCTGCAGAGCAGTGTGGCTGCCAAGCCCCAAGGAGCGGCCATGATGGGCGTGGTGTGCCGTGCGTGTAAATCTGCTGAAGTATTCCTCATCCAGAAATGAAATGACTCTCGCGTGGATTTCTCGGTTCCGGTTGAATCCAGACACCTTGTTCAAACGCGGTGACTTCAAATGCAACCTTGGGCAAAATGAGGCCATATGTAGTACGTATTAGCTTCATCCTTAACAAAAAGTGAAGGTAAGCTAAGATTGTTTCTCATTACACTGTTTTAAGGGCATAAGTGGTCACCAAATGACAGGCTCGGGGCGTAGACAGCGATTTACGCAAACATCCTTCCGGTTTGGTACAGATATCCCAGATATCCCACCAGGCGCATCATTGGGGTCAGGCTACCGTAATGGTCATTCATCCTTGGCCAACCCCCAAGGATTAAAAAATGGTGGACCTGCCCCCAAAACCATCCATACCTCGTCATGCTGGTTTATTTTGCCGTTACTAATTAGATAAATTTACAAAGCTTATTACTACTGCCTCCTGTTTCAAGGCCGGTCGAAGAGCTGGCCTGTCACCTCCCTGTCGACCAGAGGATATCACCCTACAATAAAGGATCTATAATCATCTATTCATGCAGCAACAAAGAAACGCTGAGGGGTGGCTAACTCTATGAAAAATAAAGGATGACGCCGAGAGAGCACGGCTGACTAAAAGCGCAGCTCTCGTGGGATGTCATCATAGACGCTTTCGGCTCCTCTACAATGCATCATGCTCAGGTGATATCTTTTCCACCCTGGCAAAAACATCCTTTCGGTTGGACGGTAGTGCCGAAAAGGGGCTGAATAAGCGTGAACCTTAGGATTAAGTTTGGAGTCTGGATTCAGCTGTGAATTCAGCCGCACAAATGGAAGCACGCAAAACAGTCAGGGTTCACACCGACATCCTGAGCCCCGGGGCTGGTCAACTGCCCGCAAATCGGTGTTGTTGACAATTATGGCTTAGTATCATACAAATGACATGTATGGCCTATAGGTTTCCTGCTTTTAAGCTTTCGCATTTTAAACCTTGCTCTATCTGAGCTTCACAACCCATACTACTATGTACCAATTACATTCGTCTGTCTTGGAAGTGATGTACAGATATGCTATCCATTTTCAACCAAGGACTTCACAGTGCAGGTACTCCTCACTAGAACTATCCGTAAGGGTTCGCATGTTAAGCGAATGTGGAGCTGCCCAAGTGAAGTATGGCCCCAACTCTTCTTCGATCACTCCGTCTCCATCGCGTGGATTGTTCAGCGAAAACAGGATAGAAAGCTACGAGCGTCCCATACCATTCCCGACATTCCCGGCCGGCTTTACATGAACGTTCAATCCCTATCTTACTCAGTGCCCTCCAAATGCCCCAGATTTCCCGTTTCGCTAGACAACACGCAGCTTTAGTTTGTTCTAATAACCCTTGTGGCATTGTTGTGGCATTGTTGTGGCCAGTTCTACGCTTCAAAATGCCAGCCGTGATCATGCGGTGGTCGACCTTCTAATGCTACGTCAAGCTAGCTGTGCGATAGCTTGCTCATCCAACGTAGACGGCAATATCCCCGACATAGTGGTCTCAAGGTCTTGCCACCTGATACAACCCCTTGTCGTGGCCATGACGAGGCTTGCCTGACCAATATGGTTCGAGTAGAACGGCGTGTGCCGTCAGCGGAACGGCTTCTGCCGTGAGTGGAGCTGCGGATGCGTACATTCACTTACTCCATCCAGTTGTGAACCGGCGTGCAATCCACGTGCTGATGTGAAGCATAGAGCTAGTGCGAGGCGCATTCCACTCGCTTTCAGTGCTGTGCTACTTCAAGTTTGATAATGTTGGGGAAGAATGCCTGAGGTAGCAGAAACCACAATATGAACGACCTCGCTACATGAACCCGATATAGGACCAATTGAGCTTTCCAGCTGAAAGCTAGCCGTGTTGGAAGCTGCACCCAAGAGGCACACTACTGTGAAGTCTGGTAACTTGGTGACACCGAATAAACCGATAAGATCGCTTCTGGTCTTCCGTTTCTCTCCAAAGCCGCATGAAAAATGCATCAGTATCCGTGTATGTTCTGGTCCTTAAATTAGAGCATGAAAAGCTATTTTGTAACAATACTAATGCCGGGAGATCCGCAACGGTTGTTTAAAGTTTGATAAGTATTCAGCCGGCAACAGTTCCTCTTCTCCCGACGGATGACCAGATGAGGCAAATTTAGTTAATCCCATTGCTTAGCCCCAGGCTGGTTGGCTCTCCTTCCTTCCCTCATCCCTAGGAAGTGAGAGCACGGCAGCATGACGGAAAATGCTGGAGCCAGCAGGACGGCACGACAGCAAGTTCTCGGTGAACAGATTAAGGAACAAGAATCTCTGCTTGAAAAACCAACGATCAACAGAAACGTCGAGAGGAATGGCCTTAATCAATATATCCCCTGTAGAGCCCGATGCCCAACAGACCTACTTCTACCCCTAGCTGAAATACCCATGAGAGTCTTTCGAAAGAAGCTTCAGCTAACCGTAAACCATGTTCAGAAAATGACGTGTCGGACTGCTGCTCCTGATAGACCTGCTCCTGTTCCCAACCCCTGTGTGCCCTCGCTACGGTCTACATAAATAGCCATCTTGTCCGCCCTTTCAAGACAGCTTCTAATCAGATCAAGTTATTCCATTCCATCTTTACTTCATCCTTCGTATATCTCTATCTCTTCATCAATCATCTTGAAACCCACACAATGCAATTCAAAGTAATCAGCGACATGATGGCTCGCGTCATTGTGCTAGCGCTCCTCGGGGCGGCTCAGGTACAAGCTTGTGGAGGTAAATGTGGCCCCCAGCCCTGTTCGACATCGATGCCAGAACATAATCTAACACTGGATGGTTTAGAGCCTGGCGCAGCATGCTCTAGCGATGCTGACTGTTGCAAGTCTTGCTTCTCGGATGGAACTTGCCTCTAATATGGGCAAACAAGCGCCTGGGTTCTGTAAGTCTCAAGTCTAAGATCACTAGTCGTTTTCCATTCTTACATGTCGAACTAGAAAGGAACCATATTGGACAGTGCAAAGAGAACCATGGACCTGGAACACGAGGAATTGAAGATCCGCCAAAGCCGACAAAGCCGTCTGTTATGCCAGCTGGAGATGTACAGTCATGGTTTAGTCGTCCCTTTGCCAATATTACTGTCCTATTTTTAAACGCCGTTGTTCCACTTGTGATACTTTGACTCATCATGTTCATTTCCTTCTGGTCACCTGCGTGTGATGTAGTGCGGTTGTTTTAAATTTACGGTGGGATGTGCAGACTAATCAAAAGACGTTTTGCGGCCCACTGTAGTTTGAGTAGGTAAATGTTTATTTTGGTGTATGACTCCAGAGTGCGACCCCGTGTTGCTATAAAACTCATCGCTCAACTAGAACCCATCTACTGCGATGATGTCGTCTGTGTCTGACCATCGCCAAGCACGAATGACCAGATGCTCGATCTCCTCCTCCCGGAGTCTGTATCAACGCTCGGCCGTCTGGCCAAGGACTGTTGCAGGAGCCTCTCCGAATGATCAATCTCGTTGTGCCCAAATGTCTGCTGCATGAACATGGCGGTTAGAGCCAAGACCCGCCAGGTGTTCAACTTCGTGACTGCATTGGAAAACCACCATGACCCTTCTGAAGCCAGCGGCACGGATCCAGGACAGTTTTTGAGGGACCAGTCGTACACCGTCTTTATCCGGCCCACTCTTGCCTTCTCGTAGAGCCTCAGGCGCTCGTTGACGTCTTCGGGTCTGGTGCCGAGGGGAAACATGGTGGCGAGTGAGAGTGCGTCTTCGATAGCCATGGAGGCCCCTTGTCCAACGTCTATAAGTAGACTGTGAGCTTGACGCTGGTAAAGCAGCTTATTTAGTATGACTCAAACTCACATGGCTGTAGAACATGTGCAGCATCACCAAGGAGAGTGGTCCTTCCCTTGACCCATGTCGGTAGCGGGTCAAGGTCAGACAGCGCGAAGACTCTCAGGCTGTCGTCGGTCTCCCCTACCAGCTGTTGAACTTCTGGACAGAACTTGGAAAAGGCCTGAACCAGGTTTTCCTTGTTCCCATCACTATTCCAGCCTGATTGTCATCGTTAGTGCAACAATTAGGATTATGTCTTGACGGAAAGGATGGGTACTTACTATCCTCCTCAACCACCCCAACTGCGCTGCTAGGAACATATGCAATCATGTTATAAACCGTATTGTTCGAACATGGATAAACTAAGAGCCTGCGATCAGTGTCATCCCATTGTAGCATGCATCCTCTGTTTCGGACCACATGGACGGGCCCTTTGTCGCCCAAAGCTGCGGCAACTTTCTCGATGGGTGCGAGCCAGCGGAAGGCACTGAAAGCTGTTGATTTAGCTGTTGCTCCCGGGGAGACTTGCCCCCGTGTTATAGACTGCGGCCAACGGTCAGTGAGGTTCGAACAGGGATAGCGCTGAGCGCACATGAACACCGTCCGCCCCGAGCAGAACGTCACCGTGAAATCGTCGGCCGTCTGCTAAAGTGACCCTCCCGTCATCCACATCGATCCTGGATATCTTGCACCCGGTATGCAGCACTATTTCCTCTTGAAGCGCCCTCTCCTTGAGTGCGTTATGAAAGGCGTGACGTTGGACGAAGTACCATTCCTGTGAAAATATAAGAATGGTCTATTTTAAAGCCGGGAGAGTAGAACCTGATACTCACGGATATCCAACCTTTACGTCTGTTGGACAGATCTGCGTGGAACAGTAAATTGCCACTCTGGTCGTGGCGAACCATCTACACCACAAACAATATCAGTTTCAGTTTCGCAACTATTGTGACCATACAAATACCGCACAACAGAAAAAGGCGTAAAAACGATACTGACATGGTGGACTAAATCCGAACCGAAGCTCTCCGGTCGGAGACCAAGCTCGTTCAGTAGGATAGAACAATTGGGCGATAAAGCGAGAGCAGCTCCCTGCTCCGTCACGAACTTGGACTTTTCAAGCACCTGCGGCACTCCTTCAGCTAATGCACGAACCTTTGCAGTGGAATTTGGGGACCTACGACGACATGATGGCCCTTCTGCTTCAGCGCCAGAGCAGTTGAGAGTCCAGCGATACCTGCGCCGACAACCACGAACGACAGACTCCCAAATGGGAGATCCGGCTTGGTTGGCCGCCTTGCGTAGTAGCCCATGGGTGCGAGAACGTGCGTGACGCAGCGATTCACGAACCTGAGGAGGGCTCCCAGGGCATTGAGAGCAAAAGACATCTGGACACACGGTGGCTGGTGCCTTGCGTGTCAGCGTTCGGGTGCTGATTGTTTTGGTGATGCACAGGCTGACCTGGCTGACTGCACACCTGACAAGTTGAACATTGCATTCGAGGCGCATTGGCTGTCGTGTCGGCGCGAAGGAGCGGCAGGATCGGATCGGTTGGTTTTGGCGCCGCCAGCTCAATCCCGGGAGCTGCGGAGAAGCTGAGGGTTGTTGGTGCATTTTCTAACCTTCCAAGGTTAGGAGGAAGAGACCTATAGCCACCAACAAATTCAGCCCAAGTACCAAGCATACAGTTGCAGTAATATTTTACGTTATCAGCCCTGGAGTCTGGAATCGCCTACGATAAGGTGCCGTCGTCTCGGCATGACTGTGAGAGTTATTACGAAAGAAGGCTTTATTACTTCATGAAAGGCTGTTGGAGTGGCGTGCCCAGGTGGGCCTGATCTTGAGCTCTCCGCATATGGGTCCTCAGAAAAGGCAAATGTCGAACTTGCACCGGCAGTATTGAATTGCGTAGCATGGGAAGCCTCCTATACTAGTACAGACGGCCGGGTGAAACATTGGTACCCTTGGTCACACAGCCTTATCATTGATGGAAGAGCAGCGGTATTGGGAACAATGATGGAATTCTCCCTGGCCCCTCCCAGAAATTCAGTCCTCAAGCTGCAATCAGATGATAAGTCGGCCAATGAATGCAGAATGTGAAGCCTTAGGCATACTATCGTCGCAATCAGACTGCAGCCAGACGAACTGTAAACGTCAAAAAACTCTAGACTGAGACAGCAGTTCACTGTTTGAAGTGTGTAGCATAACATTTCAACAAGGTCGAGAGTTGCGTGCTAAGAACCCCCGAGAGTGGTGCGACTGCAGTTCTCTATCCATTGCTAACAAAATGAAACCATTCAGCCACAGGGCCTGAAGATAGTCCATGTAAAATAGCTGGTGATTGCGAAACATTTGGCCGCGAGGGTTATCAACATGATCGCCCAGGTGGGTATCGAAGTATTTCTAATAATGACCGGTCTTGCTGATTCTCACACCGTCAAGATTTATTGACTTGTCAACCACATCATTTTTGACGCTATCGAGGGCCATCGTGTGCGGCCATAACCTAATCACAGTTGGTTTTCGAAGCCGGTGACAGTCGGCTGCAGATAGCGTGGGTATGAGGTTGTTTTAGCTGTGGAACATGGTGCAAGCGCAGGAAAGCGTTTCCCTTCTCTTCCACAGTGTCCTCAGTTTCCGTCTAATTCAGAATTAGAGAACAGGCTCAAAGAATTAAGTCTTGTTTCGCGCGCTTATGTCTCCACTCGTGATAGAAGTAGTGTTTTCGCCTTTCATGGTGAAGCACTATCGTGAAGCCATGTGTCGCCTACTGGCAACGGAAGTCGCCTAGTTGGAGGTTAAAGATTGAAGTGGTCCCCCCTCAGGCGCACCATTTGTAATCAAAATTGCCTGTAAATCCATTTCGCATAAATGCATGCGACTCTCCCCGGGAAGAGGTGCCGGAATCTTCTCTTTTTCACCTGTAACACACACAGAGACCGACCCTTTGCCCCAACTTCCTCGAAAATAATAGTGGATTCTGCGATATCAAAGCCCCCCTCCATCTCCGGCGACCATGTTCAGGGCGGCTCTTGTCGGCTTCGCCGGTGCCGCAGCCGTCGGCGCGATACCAGCTACGATCCCTACGGCGACTCGGGACCTGTCCGGAGCGTCAATAGAATGTTCATTGAACAGTGACCCGTTGGCTTCCGAGTGTCACGGAGCAGACGAGCATGGCCAAACAATGCAAGCCGGATTCAAGCCGGGCACGGATCCTGACTTTTCTGCTGGTTGCAGTTGGGAGGAAGGGTGCTATTTAGGAGCAGATCTTTCCGACATCCTCGGAGATGGCGCGGGCTGGCTCGACGGTGAGATTGATGACTCTTCGAAGATGACCAAAAATCGCAAGCGTTCGGACGTCACAACAACTGTCATCACGGTTGTGCCACCGGCTAGGACCACGACTGTGTATTCAGGTCTTCCCACTAGCACAGTTCCAAGCTCTGCGCCACCAACAACTATTACCATCGGTATACCAATACCGACTACCACAACGGTCTATAAGACCGACACCTTTACACAGATCACGACAGACACCTTCTCGGAGACCACAACATTTCTAAGCTCTGCACCACCAACAACCGTTACCATCGAAATACCAATGCCGACTACCAGAACGGTGCATACGACAGATACCTTCTTGGAGACGACGACAGTTCAAGGCTCTGTACCTACTGTTACCGTCGGAGTACCGATGCCGACTACCACAACGGTCTATAGGACCAGCTCCATCAAAATTACCACCACCTTAGCGCCACCCACAAGTACCAGCTCCACCAAATCTACCACCACCTCAGCGCCAGCCACAAGTACCAGCTCCTCTACCACATCAACACCGACGTCGACAAAGCTGCCGCCGCTGCCGCCGAAGCCCACGCCTTCCTTTCCATTTCCATTCCCAGAATTTGAGTTCACGCGCGCGGACATCTGTCAGGACTGGAAGATGCACGTGCCGGGCGAGACAGATCGACCGTGGGCATTGGGCCTCTTGGTGGATAATATTCTCTATGGCGAAAACTTGAGAATGATGGCCGAATATTGCACGGCTTCCTTGGAGCTCTTTCAAAAGCACAGGAATGATTATATCGACTATATGGATGGCCATGTTGATGAGATCAATATAGCGTACAGACTTACACAGGACGTGGACTGCACCATTAAGGGGCCGCCCTCAATCCCGGACAGATTTGCCAAATGGCGCGACGAGTTGAACTATCACTTATGGAACACGTTTAAGCCACGTGAAAGCTACGAGAAAGTACTTCCAGAGTTGATAAAGGAACTGAAAGAGGCAAAGCTGAGGGCAGCCAACGGTTTCCAGGTCCCAAAGCTGAAGCCTACCTCCAAAGCTGCCCACTGTTCTAAGGCCGAAATACCCTTTGACAACGACAATGATGAGATCCAGTACCACGAACAGTTGCACGACTTGGAATTCAACGCGCCGTACCACCTGCAGGCTTTCAGTGGATCAAACCGCGACCTCTACGTGTCATACATGAAGAAACGCCAGGGTGAGCTTCAAGTGACGGTGGACGCTCTCCTGGAGGTACAGTGCTACGCAGAGAAGTCTGACGACCCTCGCTTTCCCAAGTATATGATTGAAACAGTTAAGAAAATGGTGAAGACACTGAAGGAATGAAAAAGGACCTAGAAAATCGAAGATCAATCCTGGGGAGGGAGGAAACGAGTGTGGTTCATGTCAAATGCAGATGCTAATTATGATTTCCACTATCTTTTTATTTAAATACAGTTAAAAGAATAATGTTGCCATACTAATTAATATTAAAACCCTTTAATCTTTATCTTTATAACATTAAAGGTATTCACACTCTATCTATACTTTATATATTAAATTAAACTATAGTTATAAACTTAATTATAATATAAATAACTTATATTTTAATATATTCTTAACTTTATTAACTATATAATTATACTTATATTTATAATTATACTTATAATTATAACTATATATATATATTATATAAATAGTTCTTAGTTTTTATATAGAATGTTTTATTTTTATAAAATCTTTTTAAAATGTAATATGATTCTTCTCTGCCCATTACTACTTTTATATGGGGTTCCTTTACTGCACCTTTGCGGCGGTAATATTATCATCATGAATGACAGACACATCAAATGTTGTGGCCGCTTCGGGTTGGGGGCTGAGGTGGGCGACTGGGCGCACGGGCCACCTGCAGCCTCTGAGGCCCTAAGCTCTTCTGGCGTTAGAATCGTCGAAGGCTTCCTTCCTCCCTTCCTTTCTTTCTTAGACAGACCAGGTATTATTCGAAATTCTACAATTCAGAGCAAGCCTTGAGAGCTTCGCCTCTCTTATGTCCCTCCCGTGACATCAAACATCAAGGCACGCTACTTTTATAAAGAGACTGCCGAACGGTAGCGCCCATGCCAAATTAATCAATTCAAGCCTGCCATGAACAACCATAGACGCGACTATTTCAGTAGGTACCGAGCCTGAACTTTTAGCATCCTCAATTCAAATCTTGGAATCCTTTCTCGCAGGAGGGTCTCGAGCGCTGGTTATAAGCTAGATGCGTGATGGTGTATTTCATCTGGAAGAATTTCAGGTAACCCTTTGAATACTTTTTGAATCGAGCGAGTTTGGTATTCATATCATAAATAGTTTGCGATTGATTATGAGCTCCTTGTGGCTAAATAACTCCGGCGGCACAGCCGAAATATAATATTTCACATACCTCCGCGTGCATTATTAATTACAGTCTCTCAGTGAGACCTGGGAACAGTCGAACTTTGTCCGCTCAATTCATCAATCAGGACCGCTTCAGGAGCCCACGCTTGCATGGCTTCCGACCTCCCTGGTTACCAGCAGCCTGGGCCCCATTCTGCGTGGCGGTTTGTCCGTCTTGCTGGCTAGGGGTTGGCAGGCCACCTTGTCCAGAAGTTGACCCACTACCTTGCCCAGTAAGCATTCCCATCAGGCCTGAGAGGTTGTTTCCGTCCATGACAGCCTTTGCGAATGGCTCAATCTGACGCGTGATGTTCATCCATGTGTTTAGGACTGGCTGGTCGGGAGGGTTGAAGGATGGGGCACTCGGTTGTGGCAAGACCTTTGTGCACTCCGTCAGGTTGTTGATGTTGAACACTCCCAGAAGGCTCAGTCGCACGTACTCCCTGGCGTAATCCTATGAGACAGGTTAATTCGGAATTTCCTTTCACCAATCCGTCATATATCAAGAAGTAATCGTACCTCATTCCAGTGCTGTTGTCCGCCGGGGCCTGCAAATTCCCTGAACTCGGTCACGATCCTAGGATCTTTTGACAAGTTGATATCACTCTGGAACTTGAAGACCCTCCTTGGGGCGTTGCTATCGAGCGTCTGCTTGTAGAATAAGACGTCCCAGACGCCAGGGGTGCTGTCCTGGGGGTCGCCAGCCCTCGCGGGGTCGACAAACCTCTGCTGCGACGTCGTGTGCGCGCCCAGGAGGGCAGTGAGACCATGCGGCTCAATAGTCATGTTGCGGAACAGCGAGATGAGGTTATCCGCGCTTGCAAACGGGCTGGGTAGCAACCCGTCCGGCGCCGGGACGGAGCTGTCCTTCCTGCCCACAAAGGACCTCACCCGGGGACCAAGGGGACAGACGACCGTGGCGGTCGTGCTCGCCATCTGGATCAGGTCGGCCATGCCGGCCCCGTACTCGTTGTACTCGTCGAACCAGTCCTGTAACTGGGCCACGATGGGCTCTAGGCCGCGGTTCGGTGGGCGTGTCATTTCCTCTGGCGCGAGGACGATGCTGCCATCGGCCCCACCCAAGGGGCTGGTCGCCTTGGACCAGCCTGCTGCGTCGTGGAAGCCAATGCGCACTGCTTGTCGTGCTAGGTCTGTGCACCTCCCTGAGGGGCCACGGAACTTGGAGGCCATGTCGGCGGATATGTAGTGCCAGATACAGCAGGTGTCTGCGGCACACTCGGGAGTGTCGCGAGGCGGGACGTTCGGGTATGCCTCGTTCGATTGTCCATCCTCTCCATTGTCGGTAATGATGTTCTTGACTGAGCGACCAACCGGGGTCAGCTGTGAGTCCGTGAGGTTCAAGAGGTCTCCGATGAGCTCTTTCGAGTCAAATTGGGTATCGTTGTCTTGTCGGGCCTTGATCTCAGAGAGAACCTTGTTCATGCCTGGATAGGCATGGGCAAGTGTAGCCGTGGCGGCACACGAGCCCACAATAGTGCTGAATTTCATTTTATTATGATGCTGAGAAGCGAGAGTACTGAATATAAGAAGGCCCTGGACGTTTGAGGGCTCACCACTGTGTGAAGGCGCCGTGTGTGGCTTCGGACGTATAGGGAATAGAAACGAATCCAGTTATAAGGCTCTGCGGGAGCAAGCGAATGCAAAGCCAGTTGGCAATGAGGGACAATAGCGAGAGGAGGTGGTGATGGGTCACCACTCGAAGTTCCTCTCGCTACGGCTGGATCTATTTGTATTCATCTTCAGCTTTGGCCTCAAAATGTTGAGTTATATTTGGCTGACTTACTCCTTCGCTCTTTTCGCCAGGGAATGAGTATCATAGCGCAGTGCATGAGGTGTTGGGCGCTCGGACAGGGCTAGATGCCATTCCAAACATCCATTGCTTATTCTGTATCTTATCCCCTATTGTTATTCTTAATAGACTTGAGCGCAGCTGCTTCTGGCACAGTCTTTGGGACTGACAGCTCTGGCATGTCTTGGGTGATTTAATGAGACAGGGGTTGAAGGCTTGAGAGCACGGATTAGCTGACGGCTGATCTTAGCCTTCCCAGGGGTTTTCACATGTGCATGGCGTCTACATATACGCAAAGACATCCTCTAAATACCCAAGCCACCGCCCTCGTACTGAACGTCCGAAGGGCTGAAGTGTGCACGACCTCTCTCCTGACCGCTAAATGCCGGTGGTCTGGGTTCCAATTCCGGACCCGACCCGTGCCCTGTCCCGTTTATGTGGTATAGGCAACCGTTCCATCGGGCGCTATACTCTCTTGAGTTATGCGTAGATGGTGCACGGGTAACCCCTGAGCTACAACGCTATGGTGGCCGTGCAGTAGGCTGCTGGCCTCCAATTTCCACCATTCCATCGGACTTCGTGCTGCATTCAATCATTGCTGTCAAATACGATCCATTCGGGGCCGAGATGCTGCGCTGCGAATAACACATTGTTGCATGACTGCTGCTTTGACAGAGTCACTCGGGTCATGTGGAGTCATGAGACAAGACGAGATCCTGTTTCTAGTCACATTTTCAGGACCGCCATTCTCCATTTCATTCCCCATGTGCAGGTATATGTGTTCCAAGTGACATTATTACATAAAATCCCTCAACACCTGCAACGGGTGGCATGATTCCATGTCCGTAATTACCCGGTCATTTGCTTTCTCGTCTGCACCGCCTTGGAAATTTATAGCAGTCCCTCGTCGCCGTGCCTTGCATCAATACATTTCCTAATTGCCAGGATACTGCCTAGCTGTGGAAAACTTTTCTTTCTCGCTTTCTGTGGGGAATGGACACCTGGAACCTCACTCGCACCTGTTGATGGAGCGCTTGCTTCTTGCCAGAGCTCTGATCGATGGTGAGGTCTTGATCACTACAAGGTTTAAAAGTTCTTTTCGCCCTGCCAGGGCATGCAAACACGGCGCCCCATCATGCACCTTCGATGCGGTTCTATACTAAAGGACTTTATTGCCAACATGTCTTGGACTAACATTGGAGGAGAGTTAGCTTCAGCCACATTATATTTTTTATTTAACTATTTAACTATTTATTATCTTCTTAACTTTTAAACTAACTATTAGTTTATATTTTAAATATATAGTTAATAATTATTTAATATATACCCTTAAACTTATTTATATATAATAAAGTTATTAACTTTTTATATAAAGCTTCCTTTTTTATTATATTCTTTATATATTATATAAAAGTAGATAAATCCTTAATAATAAAATAATATATTTAAAAAAGAAAGTTTAATTTTTAAATACTTAAACTTCTACTTTCCTTATATAATATTTATTTAATATATAATAAATAAACTTTATTTAAATTTTTAAAAGAGTTTTAATTCTTTTATAATATTTATATAAAGTTTTTTAAATAAATTTATTATTATAATATTATTATTCTATTAATAGTGATATATTTAAAATAATAAGTATAATATATTTAATTTATTTAATAAAAGTAGATTTAAATAGCTATATAATAAATATATTAATAAAAACTAACTTATTAAATCTTATATTATAAAATTCTTCTTTTATAAACGTTATTTTAAAACTATTTTAATCTTATTATATAACTACTTTACTAATTATTAACCTTTAAACTATTTATATTAATAATTTTAAGATAATACTATTAGAAATAATACTTTTAACTTTATTTATATAATATAAAGCTTAACTATCCCTTTTAAGTATAAGGTTAAAAGACTTATAATTATAATTTTCTAATTAATTTTTATTTAACTATTTTATTATATTATAACTTAATCTAATCTTTAACTTTATTTAAACCTCTCTTTAAACTTATTTAATATTTTCCTCTTTAAATAAATTAAATTTAAATTAAAACTTTTAAACTTAAATTTAAGATTTTTATAAATCTTAATTTATTTTAAATTAAGTTTATAATCCTTTAACTTTTAAAAATATATTAACTATCTTAAATAATAATAACTTTTCTTTAAAATAAAAGTCTATCTTTATATAATTATAAACTTAATTATTAATAATTATTTCTTTTTTATAAATCTATTAAAACTATAAACTTAAATATTATATATAGTAATAAAGTATAGTTATTTTACTTAATCATTTTTAATTTAATTAAGTAACTACTTTTAAGTAGTCTTACTTATAGAGTGAATAGATAGGTATTTATTTAAGTAGAGTTAGAACCCTTAAAGGAATAATAACTTTATCTTTACCTATTTTAACTAACTTACTTAAATTATATAATAACTTTATATAAAGTACTTAATAGCGTTAAAACTAAACAGCTTATAATTTATAATAACTTAAACTTTAATAAGCTAATAATACTAGCTTAAACTAATATAGCCTAATATATTAATATAAAATGATATTTTTAATAATAGATAGTATTATAAATAATTATAAAGTTATTATAAAAGTTTTATATAATAAACTTAATTAAACTAATCTTTAAAAGATATATTATATTTTATTCTTTTAAAACTTTAACTATTTATTTTTAACTTAATAGTAGAATTAAAAAAATATAAATAGTTTATAAAATTTAATTATATACTTATAATTATATTCTCTTTTTATTATTATTAATATTATATTTCTTTAAATACTAAGTTTTAAGTATTTATTATTATATAAAGATAATGTCCCTAGCCTATATTCTAACAGTCCCCTAAATCTAACTACATCCTTTTTTAACTACCCTTTTACTTTAATTTTATCTATACGATTATTATAATTTTATCCTCTTTAATAATTAAAGTCTTTAATTAGTTATCTTTATTATTTTCCTTAAATATTTATTTAATTTTAATCTAAGTCTATTAAATTATTTTAATATTTATAAATAATTTATTTAAATTAAATTAAACCTTCTTCCTTTAAATTATTTTATTAGCTTTTAACTAATATTCTAATTTTTAAACTTTTTTATAAATATTATTAGATTAATATTTTTTAATTTTAATTTTAAAATATTATAAAAGGAGTTATTATATAAAATTTAAGTATTTATTATAAATATATTTAACTATTATATTATATAACTTTTATAATTATTTAAAGGTTTTAAAATAGTTTTTAAAGTTAATAAAATATTATTTAATATAAAATATATATTATTTTATTTAATAATAATTTTTTTATTTTTTTATTTTAATAATCTATTAATTCTTAATAAAGTATATATTAAAGGCTTTATATTTAAAAGTAATTATAAATTAATTATTTATTATTTAAATTAAATATTTAATTTTATTAAAGTCTTAATATATACTTTATAATAGTAGTAAAAACCTTTTTTATAACTATTAATAAAAATTATAATTATTTTAATATTATAAATACTTTTAAAGGTAGTCTTAAATAAATTAAAAATTAATATATTAAGTAGTTAAAGTATATATAAACTAATAGCTAGTAAAAATAATATAAATATTATTTAAAAGTATTTTTATATAAAGTTAACTATAATATATATATAATACCTATTAATTATAAAAGGTATTATTTAAATAAGTTTTTAATATAATTTAAAAGGAAAACTTTCCTTTATTATTTAATTATAATAAACTTTTATATAGTCCTTTTATTATTATAAACTATTAACCTATATAATTTTTAAAACTATAGGAAACTACTATTATTATATACTTAATCTCTTAAAAATAATAAAAGGGTTTAAAATTTATTTATAATAAATATATACTTTATAAAGGAAGTCTATATATATAAATTAAAGTCTTTTAAAATCACTTACTATTTTTTAAATAATTAATTATAAATATTATTTTAAACTTTTTTATTAATCCTTTTATTAATATTCTAATAATTATTTAGTTTAATAACCTTTATAATAAATAGTTATATTAAATTAAACTATATAAATATATTTTTTTATTATTACTTTTAGTTATTTTATTTTAACTTATTAATATTTATAATTTTTAAAATAGAGTAATAAATTAAAAAGCTTTTAATTACTTCCTTTCTAATAAAGGGGTATTAGGAGGAGAAGATTATTTAACTTATTAAAACCTATATTTTTAATAAATTAAAATATATTTTAAATTACTTTAATTAATTAAAATAATATTAATTAATTTTTTAAATATTAAAAAAGGTTAATAAAATTTATAAATAATAAATCTACTTTATATATTCAAAAATAGTTATAAAATATAATATATAAAATATATTAAGTTTTAAAGACTTTCTATATAAATATTCTATTTTTAACTATTATAAATATATTATAAATCTCTTCTTTCCTATATTTCTTTATAATAATTAAATAATATTTAAATAAAGTTTAGTAATTAAAAACAAATTCCTTATAAAGTTATAAAAGGGTATAAATAGAATAAAAATAGATATATATATATATATATAAACGTGAGTATAGGGTGGTTAGATTTAGGTGACTATTAGAATGTAGGCTAGGGATGT